AAATCTTGGCACTGATTCGCGGAGTTAGAACTTTTGTGAAGCGTAGTTTTATGATGGGATAGTATATGTTGAATCCTAGGTTTATGTGGTGCTTTTTTTCTCGGTGTTTGCTTCAAATAAAAATGCAACGTTAATTCTGTCCTTTTCCGTAGCGCTAACACTAATTTATGAATAACAAGCATATGTTTAGTATTAAAAACAAATGTTATTGAAGGTGTTTAGAAATAAAAGTGGGGGGAAAACAATGTTTAATTAAAAATACAACTCTTATCATAACCTCTGGTACCTCTCAACATGGGGCCACAGTTCCAATCCAGTTCGGGCAAGAGTAATTTATTGTTCAAAATGAGATTTTAACTCTCATTGTTTCCCGAACATCTCTTTATACTTTCTGTTCAGTATCATTTTGTTTTAAAATTGATTAATAATTAATTTGCAATTGTGTGAAAAATATCTTAACACTAAGCTTACATCGACAAACAATAAAATACTTTGCAAATGATGTGCGTGTAAAATTCACCGCACAACACTCCTCTTCGCCTTCACTGAATTGTGGTCGCGAGCTTCAATAACTAAAATTAATGTCGTAGCGAAACACCCCGATTGGATAACCGCGTGTTGCTGATGATCTGTCACGAGTCACTGTTTTTAAATTGGACAAAATGTCTCGCTACAAAATCTTCGCCTCATTTGATCTTTTTAACTCAATAAATTGCCATACATATAGGCGTGCGCACAGCGGGGGCCGTGGCGCCTCTGAAAAATTTAGAAGCCTCGTCTGAAAACATATTTTAGTTAATATGATCAATTTCTGACTTTTCACTTTTTAAGCTGGCATGTGGGGACTTGCGATGGTGGGGACATTGAGAGAAGAGGCAAAAACTCTAATCTACCTGGTAACACTAAATTGTTCAACATGAAATCAATTGCATTAATTAATTAATTGTGTCATTTCAACCGTTATACTTTCATTATCCTTGCAGCATGTTTTATTGATGCCTAGAGAAATATATAATATGTAAATACGTTTATTAGAAAATGCAGCCCGAGGGAGGGGGGGGGGCAAATATGTTGGGCACTCTCTTGTCATTCATTGGGCTACCCACGCATATTGTCATTTATTATATTAATTCGTGCCCATAATTTTGTGATAACTTATGTATACTCAGTGAACAGCAGGTTGCAGACGATATTTCCGTCCTTCACCCAGTGCAAATCATAATGCCGCAAGTGTTCTTATTTATTATGAGATACTGATTAAGTTGTCTCGATTATACATTGCATGTCTTTTTAGACCATGAAGGAAATTGTTTTTCATTACATTTATTGAAGTCAAACCAATTCCGCCAATCCCTTGGAGCCATGGCATTAGGTCGTTGTGAGATTTGTCCAAAGAAATACAATTTGTTTGGGATGTGGGAGAAGTTGAACACTAGATTTATTTCCGAAACGAATCGATTCTAGGGCGTACGTTATGAATTGAAGAGTGGCGTTTGAAAAACCTTCGTAAATGAAGGCCTATATAAGTCTGTTATTTACTGAATTATGAAAGGCCCATAACCTTATTAGTGCAGGTAATTGAAAATTGTTTCTAAGGGGTGCATCCTTTAGGCAGTCCATTTATTTTTGCATCAATCGTATATTTATTGAATCTGTTTAATTACAAAAAAGTGGCATATGTCTCGTCACCTTCCTTCTTCACATCTGTCCTCCCCATATTTCTGTCTCTGTCTGTCTGTCTGTCTCTCTCTCTCTCTCTCTCTCTCTCTCTCGTACTCCACCCGCCCCTCGCGCCAGTCCATTATGCATGCTTCCATGGTCGGTCCATAGGAACCGAGCGTGCTCGGCGCCAGTCTAGTCCAGTCTCCCCCGCACCGGAAACCTAAGCTCAAACTGATCCATTGATTGGCCGGAGCTGCACAGAGCAGGCGCTGCGCAAGCCACCGCCGACTACCGGGCGGGCGGGGCTGGCGGGGCGGGCGGGGCGGGGGCGGGCGGGGCGGCGGGGCGGGCCGGGGAGCGCCTCACCTGAGCCAGCTGCGTCGCCAGTGGTTACCCTGCGGCGGCGGGCGGCGGCCAGCAGCAGGCTACGCGGAGCATCAGCACCGGGCTGCGGCGGCAGCGCCCGCGCCGCGTCGGGCATCGATTGCGTGAGCCCTTCCGCCTCCCGCCCTCGCAGCGGCCCCCGCCGCGTCGCCGAACCCTTTCCTCCCCTCCTCCCACCCCATTGCCTCAACGCCCCTTCTTTCCTTTTCCATTCCCTCGCATTTTTGGGTTCCTGTTCTTCCAACCTGCCTTTCTTCCCTACCACTTTTGTCGATCCGCCCGTCCTTTCTTTTCTCTTCCCCGTTCCGCTGTTTGGCCGACACCTTGCCCCGATTCCCGCTGACTCGCGCTCCCGATCGCCCACTGCCGCCCCCTCCTCCCTCTTCTCTTCACCCTCCGACACTACGCTGTCTCTCTTTCCAGAACAAATTCAAAAATGTTATTTGCTGTTGTCTCAAACGCATTTCAGTGCACACTCATCATCGTATTGCTTATTCTATTTTCAAATGTTATAATTTAATGATGTTTAGTGTAATAATTTAACATTTTTCTCCATCTGTCAGTAAATTCATTTTAGAAGCATTTGTATCTAGGTGTCGTATATAAATTACATACCGTTAAAGGGTAGGAGAGGGATTTCATGTCATATAATGTTGCGTTACAGGGGAAGTTAGTTTTGTTTTGAGTTACATTCATTTTTTGTTTATTATAATATATTATTACGTATTTGTAATATTATTTTTAATATTTACAGAAATCTATTTCAAACAGTCAACTAAAATCATAATATTTTTAAAAGAATATTAAAAAAGTTATAATGTACATTTATTATAATAAATTTATTTTTCTTCAATCGTTTATTTATTAAATCTGTTAGATTACAAAGAAGACATTCAAAACTGCCCTTTGGTATTTTCAAGAATCCAATAGTACTGGAGATTCCCACCCATGCCTCATCGGCGTCTGTCAAGCTTCGCAGAAAATGTTTGCTTATGTCTTTCCTTTTCTCAAAAATTATCCCCAGGCTTCATTGTTAGGTGTTGCCAGCATCACCTCTTAATTCTGACAGACAGTAACGGTAAGATTTACTTGATGGACAAAATTAAATTAATTTAAGTTACATGTAATTGCTGCAAAGCGAAATCCGGGTAGGCGAGATCGCTAAGGCAGTAGTGTAGCGATCGCGGGTTCGAATCCCTCCTCGGGATTCGCGCGGTACACACACGCACGCGTCCGCAATCACGCACGCAAACACACGCGGGCGTGCGCATGCTTGAACGACGAATTGATCTCGCGACTCGAAAGTTTTTAAAGTTAAGAACTGGCTATTACACTCCTGCAGTGTGTATTATCAGCAATGCTTTCTTGCGTGAATAGCATTGGGAATACAGAGTTACTATTTATTGAGTTTTCTAAACATCCTGACAATGAATGATTGAATAAAAATTAAACGGGACCAATTTATAATTTATTATGATAAGATGTATGTCAGAAAGCAATTATCAAATTAATTAACATTATTTTGTAATCAATAGGATCTGGATCATTTCTGATCAGTTGACGATTCTTATGCAAATGTTGATGCTCAGTCAACCCCGTAATTATTGTTGGCTCTTTAAAATTTCATTGAACTACAAGGGATTAAGATAGATTCTTTTCGGAAATCCTGCTTTAAACATTTATAGAAATATAATTGTTAAAACCTTTAATGTACGTTTGGGGGAGGTTACACCACACACAATTCAACATTGATTTTGATAATTTTAGAGGGCCAACATGAAATACTAATAGAATTGTAGAATCTATTTTGAATTTGTTTATTTATTATATTGTTAACAAATTAATTTATAATGTTCAACTCTGATGATCTCAGCCGAAGAGTAAAAATAATTAAAATAAGTTTACTATTGATTTTGAATTAGTAAACGCTATAGTTATGAATTTGTGCCAGTGTCTTTGACGCCGGGAGGGGGGGGGGCGATGGAACCTCCCTTGGCTCACTGGCATAAAACTTCGATTTTTTGCAGAATCTCAAGATTGTTTGACATTAGTGTAGTTTTGATATAAACATTTTTGTATTCTTGGGAATTGCGGAGCTATAATTAATGATAAAATATACTTTTCTCGGTTTTTCACTTAACATGAGAGTTAAAAATCATCAGAGCATCAGCGCTGACTGGTGAAATGCTCTGGGGAAACACATACCCTCGCATTCGACTTTTAACTCAACGTCCTCATAGTGTCTACTATATTTGCAGTATATCTTTTGCACTTTCAATATCTCAGAGATATTTTCAGTTAATGTAGCATTTGTGAAGTATTAGATTTGTTTGATAGTGATAGTTTAGTACGAATTAAACATATTCATCAGTATCAAAATTAAGGGTGTCTAGTTTCTTTGCAGCATATCATTAAATAATTCATTGCTAGTTAAGGGTTCAAGATACCTTGAAAACTGCATTTTCCGGTGTTGTTAGTTTAAGAGGAAACATACTGAAACTCAACAAACTCTCCAAAAACCGACTACATCATTTTCATGTGACAATATCATGTTCAATTGATGGAAAAAAAAATTACATTGCTTCCTCATATGATTTTTTTCATTACTCCATTAAGTTTGAGACTATTGTAACTGGCGGAATTTTTAAGGAAACCTTTTTTAACGCAGCGTATGATATAGGAAAGTTAATTGTTGACAGAAGGGAAAAATCCTTGAGGAGGGGCGGCTCCCTTTGCTGGAGGCCACTAACAAAAAAATCATGGAAATTATTATACTTCATCTTAGTAGTGTACAAAAAAATGTATCGAGATGAGCATGTTAATGCTAATTGTAAATAAATTTTCTGTTGTAACCTTTCAGACCTCATTTATTGGTTTTCCAAGTATTGCAAATATCTTGCACGTTACGATAATTATCTTAGATAATTTTTTTCTATTTCTCTATTTCATTGCAGCAACATACTCCACAGCAGAAAAGGAAAGAGCGAGGGCGCATTGACCTGACGTCTGTTCGGATTGTGGAAACCGCCCAGTTGACAGTGGGCCCCTTGGTGCAAGGGGCAGTGGAAGATACGGTCCTCTGTGAGGGAGTGCCCTTCCCAGCCGGCTATCCCTTCCAAGTGGGCTATTTGGAGCAGGGGCAGGAGTACGTGCTCTACCTCTTAGCTGCTCGGGAACAGGACCGCGCGGATTGGATTCGTGCTATTAGATCAGGTAATCCTAGAAAATTATTATTATTATTATTATTATTATTATTATTATTATTATTATTATTATTATTATTATAGACTACTCGCGTTAACACGAATTTCAAATTTTCAGTAATTTGTGTTCATGATATAACTAGTACTGCAGAATGGCACAGACTTTCTGTATTAGTTTTCTAATTCCTTTGGTCTGGGCTAGCATTTCGGTCTTGCCCCACCCTCGTGCCAACGTTTGTGTCATCTTACATAGTACATTTAGCACTCTCCCTACCAAAAGTTTAAAGAAGAAATGTGGAACCATTTTCTAAATTTTATTTATTCTTTTAATCCTTTAGAAAATCTTGTTTTTGTTTTTTAATATTGCACATATTGCACGCAACTTGTGCGAAAACTGCTAAAATTTTCAAAACATTTACATGACACTAATGAAAGAACTGTTGAGTAAAAAATGAAAACAAAAACTTGAAGAAAAAACCTCTATTTTCAATTTTGCAGTTGTAGGATGACTCCGAGAAAAAAAAAAGTTGTGAACTTTCAAAAATTCAAAGTTGACAGAAAGTAGGGTCTATGCCGCCTTTATAAGTGCATTTCACTATATTTTTACAAGAAAAAAATTGGAACCATTTTTGAGAAAATTGTAAAAAGGTCCCAGTATGAGGCCCAAATTGCAAAAAGGCTATCCACATGATGAAAATGTCCTGTAGCACAAAAGCTTAACGCTACTAAGTATTGCTGCATAGAGGCTTATTGCTATTTGAAGAGTATTCCAGACGCGGTTATACTTCTAAAACCTTCAGGTGCACACCGCCTTCGACATTCTGCTTCTGGTTACGATCTCAACATCGTCCAGAAATCGCGCGGCCATTCGTAGCACGAGTAGGCCTACTCGCGCGCTGGACTCCGTCCAGCACACTCATTATGTAGTTTTCTTTCCTTGTTAACATCGTTAATATGCTTTTCTTATTTATCTACACCTGTATTTTAATTTAATATACTATAGAAGAAAACATAATTGTAAGCAATGTTTGAAGCTTTTATTAATATCCGGGCGCGTTTTCTTGAGCCACTTCGCTAGATGCGAGTATAGTGGAGTAATTAGACGGCAGAACCCTTCATATCGCATCTGCAGCTCGGTTTTCGATGCAAGATACTGTCTACGTATTGTACGCAAGGGAACGTTCCTGGTTATCAGATTTTGTTAACAATGTTCGTTGCTATCACATTCATAATTCAACTAATATTAGTAAAAGAGGGTGTGGGTACTCCGGGGCACAAGGAAACGTGCGCGTATATCACACACGCGCCTCCTTAACAGCAAAAGAATAAAACAATTAAGTCGACGAAGTACAATGTACGCCTCTGATGTACTCTATATTTTGATATTCGTCACGCGATCTTGGTGAAACGTAAATATAACGTTAAATGTGCGTTTTGTGAATGTATGAAAAATCAATTAATATTTTTTTCTCGTTTATTACTGCCGCATGTTTCTAAGCTAATGCTTATAATTAATAAATTGAGAAATGGCTTAAATGGACATTGTCTTCATATTCATTAAAGATCACAACGAGAGCCTATATCTGTGGATTAATTTAATCATTGGATACAGTCCTATTTTAATATTTTGCTAGGCTAGTAGGAATACTTGAAAACATTTTTATATTTTAAAAATCAAACTTAATTAATTAAACTAAATCAAATGATTAAATATTGTCTATCCACTGAAACTGTGTTAAGCATAAACTAGTGGTGCTACAACAGCACGTACTATCTCGCGATATATTAATGGCAATGTAATATTATAATATGACAATTTCTGTGTTTCATTCCAACAACCATTTGAAATATTCATAGCCCGGGAGTGCTCGCAATAGATCTGTGAGATCCAAGCCACGGTCATTTTAAGTCCCTGAATTATTGCAATGCATTAGTCATCGTCTGATATTTCATGTATTCCTTCATTGCACTTTCGCCTGGCCTTCTATTTTTATTCTGTCTTTGAATTATTTTCCATGAGCATGTTGAAACTTGATCGCTGCGCTGCGCAATATCTATCAGAAATGTTGCGTGCAATGCATTCTGAGCTTCTGGCATAAGCGGTACGTGTCTTGACATTATTTTCAACCGTGAAGTGCCAACAGACAATGTAATCAATTGTCTTATCTAGGATCGACTATCACTATTGCTATCAAAGAGAAAGATGATGTGCAGGGGTCTGAAATGAAATTTTTTAAAAATGTGAACCGTTTAAAACAGAAACAAGACAGACTTCCTAAATATTTTTGCGGAAATTGTACTTAATATTATTTAATAAGATAAAAAGATGTTTAATGTTCTTTGTCATTTTTTACCTTTCTCACCATAAATATTGAAACAAGATTTCTGCAGTGTAGGAATCATTAACAATAGCATTGGAGAACATGTACAAACTAAATAAAATACATATTTCAGTAAATAGAGCATCAGATCTCGCCACGTAAAATAAGGCAAATTCAATTCAATTCAATTCAGATCATTCGCATTCACGAAAAGTTGCAGCTATATCTAAGAGATACACGCTCCCGAGTGGACCGAGCGGACACTCCCGAGTTACAAACTAAGTGTAAAAAATACATTTTTTTCATTCAAAGCTTAAACAAAAACGGCTTTCTGCTATTCAGTGTATTTACGTTCTACATAAACGTACCAACGATGTACAATGCGTATTTTAGCCGTAAATAAAATTATTAGTTGGAATTAACGCGGAAGAAAGGCGGCAGTCATGGGCAACAATGGGTTACAAGCAATCATGATTTCTAATTCCTATGAGATTCACACTTTGTCAATTAGCATTGTTGATACAACTAGCAAGAAAATGAAAATGGATAGAAAAATATAATTTTTATATTTAAAATTACTAGGTTTTTACATTTCATTCCCACATCTTGTAAAGCAAAGCGAAATCATCTATTCGTTTTCACTTTTAACTCAATTAAGGGACTCAATTTAAAATAGGTTTTAAATAGTTTATAAAATAATAATTTTAAAACTTATAACAAAAGCTCGAAGAAGAAACGAATAAAGAAATATGAAATAATATAAAAGTTCTAACTCACATAGTGACCAACTGCTTCAAAACACATCTAAAATTGTCAAAGCGCAGGAAATAAGGAGCGGAATGTATGTTTGACGCCAAATTACTCCAAAAATATTCATATTTTCGTAAAATTCAACGTAACCCTATGTAAAGATCGTTTTTTGACGAACACATTTCATTTAAAAAAATATCTTCATTATTGTAGTTGTAGGAAGACGCCGAATTTCTTTTAATTTTTTCAATTTTCGAAAAATCATGGTTTTTAAACAACATGAGACCTGCACCATTTTCTTAGACGCCCTTCAAACAATTCAACAACAAAATTTCATCAAAATCGACGGCGCCACTTTTTGAAAATGCCCGGGAGTTTCATGTAAAGGAACCCCAAAAAGTATAATATCGATTTCAAATTCGAGGGCCGCCCTACGTATCATGTACTCCCCTCAAATGGGCAGAGCATAGCATAGAACATCTATCCCTTATCTTGGAGTCCTGGACACCCGTCTAACCTGGCAAGCCCATTCACGCCTAAATCTAGCCTATTCCTCCCTTCTCCGACTTTATCTTCTTGTTAACAGAAAATCATCCCTCAAACTAAGAACCACCCTACACTTATTTAAATCCTTAGTCCTCCCTGCAATTACATATGCAGCCCCGATATGGGGAGGTGCAGCCCTCTCAACAATGAAACACATTCAAACCCTTCAAATTAGTCTTCCGCGCAGCCTAAGAGGCCTTATGGTACATTTCAAATTCATCATTCAGTACAGAGTCACAATGACCTAAAATTTCCTTCAGTAGCCCAGCACATCGCCCACAACTCCCAAAGATTTTTCAACAAGCTTTATAACAGCCTTTCCAATGGACATTCTCATTAGGAAAAACCACACATCCTCATCTAAATCGCATCCCCGCCAGATTCCCCAAAGATAAACTCCGTCCTCCGTGATTCCTATTCTACTCGTATCCTCCCATAATACACCCCGTTACCGCAATCATTTTAAAAACCAGCAGCAAACGCTTCAAAACACCTCATCCTGGTTTTCTATTAAGGAGCCCAGTGGGGTTACCCTCATTTTTTACTGTGTATTACTATACACACACACACACACACACACACACACACACACACACACACACACATATATATATATATATATATATATATATATATATATATATATATATATATATATGTAAACAACCAAACTATTCTGTAAAGTGACTACGTACCTGTATCAGAAAAGTATTTAACAATAAAAAATATTTTTAAAAAATGAAGGGGCCGTGACATCAGCCAGATCGGTCGGGCTTAAGCGTTTGCTCACAGATGGACACATACGTCTCGGCCGTCATGCTGCGTCATTCCTTGGGGCGAAATGCGAAAATGACTAGAACGAGAATGACTGCGCCCAAAACCAGTACTTTTTGTTGTGTATGGTGATTGCTTGAGTGTGGTGTGATTGCTTCACTCTACAAATTGACATTGTAGAGTTTGTTGTAAAAATATATGATGAAGTATGTAGCATGAAAGGGAGTGCAAAGTTTTTATGAAGAAAATGCTCATATTTTTCTGCCGGCTTTCCCTGTCTCTCTCAGATGCTCATGTTGATGTCCTTGCAGTGTGCATGAAATGTGCTGCTCCTGTTGACCACTACCATCCGGGCCTGTGGAGTGGCAAGCGCTGGTCCTGCTGTCGGCAGAACATCCGTGCAACTGAAGGTTGTGAAGCGTCGACGTCGTGGGCCCCCCCGGAGCCTCCTAGTCCTGGAGATTCAGGTAATGACGTAGGAATCGAGGCATGTGCACCAGCTCCGTCGGATCTAACATGACCAGTCCTTATGCGAGTGTGTGTGTGTGTGTGTGTGTGTGTGTGTGTGTGTGCGCGCGCGCGCGTGTGCGCGTGCGCGTGCGTGCGTGTGTGTGTCAGTTTTACTTACCTGGGGGGATTTGTTATTGGGTGTTATAACCAACATCCCATCCTACCGGAGCTCAGATATGATTATCGGGGTAGGCGCACGTTATTTTTCTATTGGGAAGATCAGCATTTAATACTGATCACGTTTTTACACCCCAAGGTATTAAGCCCTGGGTGATGGGGTGAAATGATGAAGTACACACACACACACACACACAAACATACAGGGACACACATTATTTTTATTATTATTATTATTATTATTATTATTATTATTATTATTATTAATCAAGAGCGTGTGTTGTAGGAAGGTATTGTTGAAAGGTATTGGAAGGGCTCCATAACGAATTTAATGTTTAAGCACAGTCTGAAGCCTGGTCATAACAAGCACAGGATATGGATGATAATATTTGGATAGAATCGCTTTGAATAAAAATAATTCTGTGGACTGTTCAGTAAGCCGAAAAGAAAGACGTAAAATACCCTGCCACGGTGAACACTAGTGGCGTCTCCTCAAAGATCGGGGAGGGGATGCGATGAAAAGTAGCAAATAGTTTGTCAATAAAACACTGGTTGCCTTCACTACTAATAGAGGCATGGTGCCAACAGTTCCAAAATGCGCCAAATATTGAAAATTTTAACATCAAAGAGATCGTGTTATAATGCGTAGGCGGTTTATTAGACATCGACATCGATGTATACCGCCTCCTAAGATAGATGGGTCACCGTTTATGATTGGCCAATAGGGAGAAGCGGTAAGAAAAATCGGATAGAAAAAGCAATAAACTTTGTTTACACCGCTCTGATTGAGGTATTTCGTGTGTATTACAAAAACACTATTTTTAATTTAACGAGTGGAATAGTCGATTTGAATTCCAATGGGTGCGAAGTTTCTTGACAAGCTTCAAAATTGTTGAGCATTGTGGAATATTCACGCCTGGAAAATCGTTAATAAACCTCTTGCGGCATTTCCTGGCAGATTTAAGTCGAAGAAAGATGTAAAAGAATATTCTCTGCTTCAAAGAAAATTTCATGATGCCAAGTTCAACGCTCTCGGGACACAGGCGTAGGACGAACGCGCCGGGTGAACGAGGCCTTAGTTGAGAAGCCCCCGGGGCACCGGGGGCTGGATCGCTGAGGCAATGTCCCTGCTGATGCAAGCGGCGCATCTTCGACGGAAGATAACCCCCGTACACCCGTTAGTTCCCATTGGGTGGAAATGGCGACGGTATCGCACTTTTTGAGCAGGTTTGTGAGGAATTGTTTAAATGCTGCGACTGGCGTGGGCCTGCGCAGAGAGGGGACTTGCCCCCTGAATATTTTGAAAGTGGTCACGTTGACTTACAAGTGAAACGTGTTATTTCCGTAAATGGCGATTCCAATTTTTTTTACATCTGGGGTAGAGGCTGACTAAACTCTGACAAAAAAATAATCGACTAAAATCAATTGCATTTATTATTTGTATGGTTACAGTTAAAATTGCATTCTCTTCATAGCATTGCAATGCTACCACTGAGTCAGAAAGCTATGAAGTTGCTGGGGATTGGAGAACATATGGGGTTTCTTTAAATCCTGAGAATAAGGGAGCAGTTAATTTTAATTTAATCAGCAAAATCGGTAGAGAAGAAACCATGAAAAAAATGTACGGACCTTGTGATAAGAAAATATTACAAAGAGAATGACTCCACCCACAGACATCTCTACTTTAGTCAGTCTTCCATCAATTAATTGATAGTTCTCGGATGCGATGAATCTGGGAGGCAACGCCCCCCGGCATTGTAGCTCCCTTCGAAGTTAGTGAGCATGTTCTTCACCTACTCCGGCCAACGACAGGACCGGCTCCGTGAATGGCGCCGATGTGGTGTGTGCTGTGTGGTGCGCCTTTTGGCCGCGATACTTCTCGTCCATTTGGAGTTCATTCTGGGGCACCCCTTTCGTCGACAGACTTAAGTTTATTTCTCGGTCGCGACAACTCATGCCTTGCCCGTGATGCGGCCTGGCCTTTAATTACTCATCTTCGAAGACATTACAGTCTACTCGCCTAAACCTGGTCGGGGTGAACCAACGGAATGCTGTCTAATGTGATAAATAGTCGGCGGCGGTCGGTGCGTTAGCAATCGCGGCCGATAGAGTACGTACCGCTTGCTGGCCGACGCGGCGCTCTTCAGTTTTCGGGACGCGGGGAGTCTCAACAGAGCAAGAGCTCCAGAAAAGGCGACCGCGCTACCACCGCACACGCAAAACAGATTCATTACGTTTACGGGAAAGTTATTTTCTGAAGAAAAATCCACTTTCTCGGTGTCGTGTGCTGCGAAAACGAGAAAGTAAAATATATCGGAAATAGTCAACTTTAACTCATGAAATTGAATTTAACAAACGTAAGGTATAGAACACAATTAGTGATTTTAGTTAAAACATCGAATAGAATGGGTTGCTTGAAGAATGTCATTTACATGCGGTAAGGTTCCGCAAACATTTCGGTTTTGGTTTTGTTTTTCCTTTCCACAATAAATTCGATTGCTGAGTATAAATTGTTGTTTTACTTCCTCGCTTTCTACTTACATAGTATATGGAAAATACTGTAGTGTTGGAGCAGAAAATTGCGATTTTTGTCAATACCCCTTTTTGTGTACATAAAGCGCCGATATTTCAAAATTGCCTCAATTTTTTTTGTAGAACAAAAAACGCTTAGGCCTGTAAAATTGGCGTATGTCTGTTTTGCATTTTGAACATTTTTCGAAAAATGCAAAAGTTCAAAATTTGTTGGGCGTCTCTCCGGAGTTTTAAATTCCTTATTATTGTTGCAATTGAAAATTAGAGACGTATTTCAAACAACCATAATAATTACTGAGGGAAGAATAAAGCGGAGGAGTTCACTACGTGTCCGCCTCTTCGTGTCGATATTGACGTTCTCCACATCAGCAAAGCTATATTGTCGCACACCTACTGTTCGGAAGTCGGGCGTTTTAAAACTGAAAATTGTACAAAACAGATATACGAGTAGACTTACATTGATTGTATTTTAAGGATGTATTCAATCTACGCTATTGCTGGTTCTACTTGTAGTTTGCGAACGAAAATTTTTCGAATTCATTTTGAGAATAGAACCCCAGGAACGAGAATCTCAATGATATAAAATGGAGAATGATTCCTTCGTTGTTTAAATATACTTTATAATGTTTTGCTACCTGTATAAATTAGATCAAAATCTCCTGATTTGTCGTTCGCAGATCCATTTCGATATTTCTGAGAACCTACGACGCATTGATTACAATGATAGATAACATGCAGTTCAGTGCATTTATTTAATTCACGATTAACACAATCACCTAATTGTGATTTACCTGTATCTTGTATTTTTCTTGCAAAACAATATCGTCTTTGGGAGCGATAAGAGAGTATCTCCCGTTCGGAACGCGAGGATCGCGCAGCCAAGAGTTGGCGTGCGCGCGGGCACCCTCCGTTAAACGAAAGTTACGGCCAATATTCCGCTCTTGGACTCGTGCTGCATGGAACATCAGCTGGATAGCGGTGCTTTGGGTGACGTCACGCGGAGTAGCCAATGCGGCGCTCGCCCGACCTGGAGAGAACGAGGAGGGAACCTGGCGTGCACCTGAGAGGTTGCTGACCAGCTTCTGCCACCTGCTGCGTTTGGGTGGCGTTTAGTGTGGATTTCAGCTGTCACAGCGAAATTCGGTTGCGCGCCCGCGAACATTGGGAATGTGTTTTGATTATAGAATCTGCCGTAATCCTGTTGTGAACACCCGTAGCAGTACGTGGAAAATGTTCCTGCTATGTGGGTCTCCGCTTCATCCGTACTGCAATAAGCCCGTACTTCGAGCAAAAATAGAACATGTATAGAAAAAAGTGAATTAGGACACGATATGCCACATGGTATTCAAAAGAGAAGGAAAAATCGCCCAATGCCGGAAACGTACAAGGATATAATTGTGATGTGACGTTTGTGATCAGGGTACCAGTTCTCACATTAGCATTGCGTACTAGTTTCCTCATACCTCGCAGTGCCTTCATGAAGAAAATCTATCAGTTTGAGTTTGTTATGGTGTTCAAGAGAATTTTTAATGATTGTTCTGAGTGGCCGAGCGGCAGAATTACAGTTTCTACGTACGGAACACCGTTGTTGAATGGCAGGTAAGGTAACAAGTTAGGAGCACTTCTGGCAGGTGTTGCATCTGATCCACAATTCTCCGCGAATACCGAATTGTGAAATGCAGCGATTTATGTCCATTTTCGGATGCTTGTAAACTTTTTTGAAAAATTACTAGTTTCTGCTGAAGAAATTGAGTGAATTGCATTCATAACGGGAAATTTAGACTATATATATATAATATATATCTATTAATAATATATATATTTATATATAATATATATATAATATTTAAAACAAGACACTATATACATATTTAACAGAATTGGAGAAAAACATGGGAAACACGTACTTCCTCGATCAGAGCAACATGCGCTAGAATTCTATGCATATTATAGCTGTGTCGAAAGATCCAAGTCTACTGGTTTGAAGTCGGGCTTCGCAGTCAGAGACGCTGCAAAGAATGCTGAATAAGAAATTTAGTTGTCAATAATATATATATATATCTATATATATATATATATATTATCATATATATATATATATATATTATATATTATATATATAATATATATAGTATACACACACGTCATTAATTAGGTGTATATCAAAATGTAAGATTTATACTAAAATGATACCTTACTGGCTTGAATATGCTGAACATATACAAAAATATCTAATATTATCTCTAGAAAAAAATATTATTTCTACTATAAATCCAGTTAAATTTTAGAAGAAAAAAAATTGTTCATGTGCATTCAATTTATTATTTGCTGCTTATAAAATATTATTATTTTAACAGTGTTATCTGGAGTACATCTCTTGTTCCAAAGACTATTTCCTGAAATAAAAAAATAAATTGACAATTCAATGAAAATAATGTGGTTTTTTGTAAATCTTAATTATTGAAACTGAAAATTATAATCAATGAATTGAGTAGAGAGACTGCCTTACATGACCAAAGTATCTTCATTTGTGAATATTTCAGATGAAATTTAAAATTAATGTCTAATATTTTTTTACGATCTCTTATGTTTTCTCATTATTTTGTAGTGTAATTATGTGCTGTAATATTTAATTATATTAATATTGATGGTATTTTTGTTAATAATGTGGATGACTTCAAATGTGAAATAAAAACATTGTAGGCATGACATCAAGCCTGCAGACACACACCACTAGTATTATGCTATTATGTTCCAGAAATAAAGAAACAAATGTTTAACATAGCAGTTGCAAAAGAAGGTTCCCTTGTATTGTAAGACAATTTTTTGCTGAGTTTGTCTTACATGATTGATTGATTTGCGCATGTTGATTGTAGTCCTATTAGTATATTGAAAGTTGGGTCCCGGAGGATGAAGTGTTCTTCCCCCACTGGAGGGTGAGATCCAGTTTTGACCTACAAATCGGCCTGTGAGGAATTTCCCCCTCTAGGTAACCCCAGTGGGGCAGCGAGAACAAGCTCTAAGCTCCTGACTGGTTGTCTGACATGAGTGGTGGAGAATATGTGTGTGTAAGGGGAGAAGAAGAGGCAAGCATGAGAAAGCCAAGATTGCTCACAGTCCAACAGTCCATATTTAACAGAAATTGGAGAAAACATGGGAAACTACTGATCAGAGCAACAAGCCGCTAGAATTCTAGCTATATAGCTGTGTCAAAGATCCAGTTCTACTGGGTCTTGAAGTTCGGGCTTCGCAGTCAGAGACGCTGCAGAGAATGCTGAATAAAGAAATTTAAGTTGTCAATACCAGCAAATGAAGTTTGTCTCTTATTGTTGGCTTACTTTGTTTTGTCCTTTTGATGTTTTTTGAACTTGTTTACATGTGTTTGTTTTGATCAAATTTGACTTCTAATGAATATGTTGATACATACAAATATGATTTTGGATGTTTTATTTCAAATAATTATTCAACACTGTGAAATAATAATTGTAATAATAATAATAATAATAATAATAATAATAATATAAACATTACAGAAATGAATGGTATTTTCATTAAATTAATGACAGGATGTAAAACAGGAGGTGGTGTATCATATAAAAATGATAAACTGTTACAGATTTGTGTGGGCAAGGGGCAGCTAATAGAATCCTAGGCCACTTGATGTATGCACACATGTTCTATCTTTTTTTAGTTCTACTTTTATTAAGATATATTCTGTAATTGCCCTATTAATTAAAAAAAAGATTCTAATTATTGATAGAAAATGTGACATTTAGTGACAAATCTCAAAAATATTTAAATGCTTTTATGGTATTTTTTAGATCTTTTGGTTAGTAAACTGTGCAATGTGATACTAGCATTGTTTTTATTAAGAAATGTCTATTGAGAGTTGTTTTTTTTAGAGATATTTTACATGTTGATACCTTAGAAAATTTACATCTAGATGTCACTACATTACAATCTAATGATCTCTACATTACAGTCCAACGATTACTACATTACAACGTAGCAGTCAATAAGTATTGTTATGCTGCTTGTGAAGGGTCCATTGCAAGGTTTTATTGTATTTGTAGGAAAACTAATAAAGAGGTCATGGTAATTTATAAAAAGCTAGAGAATTTATATGTATTTAAATCTGATGTGTTTAGTTATTCTTATTTATTTTGTTAATTTTTAAAAATAGTTTGTATGTCTCTGTCTATAAGATTGGGTTGTTTACTTTGTATTTTTGAATCTCTAAAATAAACACACATTGCTTTAAATGTACTGATGTATTGATTCTTGTTTGTTGTTTTGTGCTAATTAATATTACACTCTGTCTTAATCATCCTTTTATATATTTAAATTGAGGAATTCATGGGATGGATGGAATATTGGGGAATTTATATAATATTTTTGCTTTAATGATGGTCTGAGTACAGCGCATATTCACTAATGTTGTTTGAGAACAACTTATTTTCTAACAAAAATTCATTGTTATTAGGTACACCAACAGTCATCATGCCTGGTGGACCAGTGAAAACAAAGGTATAGTTCATGTATTTTTAATTAAATTTTTATGTGATATTGGAAATAATATTCGTTAAATTGTAATGATATATATCTCTCACAATATTATAAATTATGTGAATACTAAAAAATCATTATTTCAATTCTTGATATTACAACTATTAATGCATGATATCTGCAAATGTAAGAAAGTTATATTATATTTGGAAGTGTTAAATGTTTTCTTGTAATTTTTTGAAGTGATTTAATGCATAAGCAGTGCATTTCTAGAAGTGATGAATATTCTCTTTAAACAATGAACAAACCATTTTAAGGGAAATATTGGTAATATAGTTTATCTTAATATTAGCATTATAATAGGCTCAATTTAAGTGCCTTGAACTGTTTTGACAATCAGGATGTTTTAATTACAGGAAGAGCTGATGATTCGACCCAAAGTGGTTGTTGCCCTTTATCATTTTAAAGCAATTGAAGGTGGTGACCTGTCCTTGGAGAAGGTAGGTTTTCTAATTAAAGTTTTGTTATGACTAATTCACATTATTATTACTTTATAATCCTTCCACTGCTTCTTAAAAGGTAATTGCTGATAAATATGTGCATCACAAAAATTATTGTGATGCACAAATAAACCATCACATAAACTGTCATATGTACTTGCCTGGAATTCCAATTCCTTTATGGACATTTCGCTAATGAGCATATTTTAACCCTTAAATTCCATAATTCTTCTAAAATTTTCAAGGTTATATTTATCAATATAAGTGAATTCATTATGTAACATTAATTATTGTGGTTCTTTAATTTGTCTCTTATTTAAAATGTGCTAACATATCGAATTTTTAATGTACTTTATTAAATGAGTCACTTTTGGAAAATATATGTACATAGAATATTATTATTTTTATTATTATTATTATTATTATTATTATTATTATTTGAGTAATTGACAAGACAATAAGCTCATAAAAGTATATTATATTAGATATTCACTCAAATATTGAGTGAATATTTGAGAGAAAATTCTTTCACCAAATTGCACTTTTAGATTCAATTTGGAACTTTTCAGGGTGCAGAGTATGAAGTGCTAGACGACTCACAAGAGCACTGGTGGAGAGTTAAAGATGAACATGGGTGAGTCTGATTTTAGAAAAAAATTGTTATGATAATACAGATAATTATAATATGATACAAGGGAATTTGTTGTGTTCACTAATGACAGTGGATTATTTGTTTTCAGTGCTGTTGGCTATATTCCTAGTAATTATGTTAAAGAAAAGGAACTTCTTGGCCTACAAAAATATGAGTAAGTTACACTAGCAAATTTATACATGCGCACACTTAAACTTTCCAACACAACTCCAACAAGGTCAAATTAAAACTAAATATGACTGATAGCTATCTGTTGGGACTGCCATCATCTGAAACAGTGTTTCAGTTTTTCAATTGATGGCATTCATAATTCATTTTGTTCAAAAAGACAGGTATTTCTTTATTCTTTTCCTTTTTATTTTTTTAGATTTGGAGCTCAGGAATTAGTTAATTATTGTACATATGTAATCAATTTGCAATGATATATAACTTCATATTTAATAAATAAGTGTCTGTATTATGAATTATATATTTAATAAAAAATAATTAATTTACATAACAAATTTTAATGTTATTAAAATGTATAGTTTTATTACTAGTAAAACTGAATCATCAGTATAAGAAAAAACTTGAAAACCAAAAAAATACAATAATTTCTTTCTTCATGCTTGAGACCTTGAGAACCAAACAAGGAAAGTCATTCTTGTTATCAGTTATACCGTTTTCTTTCGTCTTATTTTTGTTACCGCAGAACAAATCCTTTTGTCAGTAACATACTTACTAAATTTCTCTTCCACTGTATGGATGATTGTATGGGTTATTTACGAGCAGCAAACAATTGATTGAAGAGGGCAGAAAATAAAATTATGTAAAAATTATGCACAAAATGAATAATGCATATGGGACAAAGACAGTAGCATGAGGAGGCACCTACTATTGTCTGCAAAATTTTCTCTGAAATGTCCTCCGTGTGTAAATTCACTCTTGTTTCACAACTTGTTTCACAATTTAATGGTTATGATGGCAGCCGCAAACTCTGGAGTTGGCACTTTCGAAACCTACCTTAGGCATGGATGTTTGCTTCATTCGTGTGGCATGGTGGGACTTTTCCCAACCACTATGTAGCTCCCTAGAAACGTATCCAATCTCTTTGCTTGAAAATGTGAGTAAGAGGTCTGAATGTAACTGCTTGCTTGCCAGGAGGAATAACTTCTATAAAGGACCTATGGGGGCTGCTAATCTCCCTTCCCATAACAAGGTTCAAAGGTCTTCATGTGTTTACAAGCTACCAGCAGCAGGAGACCGTTCTTATGGGGTTACAAGCCATTGCAGTGTCCATACAGAGCAAAACTAACTTGGTAGGCCATATAAATACTACTGTCCATGAATCTTTACTGATGTCCATGGATCTGACTAAAGTGAAGATAGCTTGTTTTATTTTAGTTATTGCCTGAAATCTATTACACAATACTCATTCAGAGATACGTGGATTTTATTGTTTTCCTGTGCTTGATAATGGAAACAAAGTTGTCTGAAATATTGTACATAAATATTTTAATCATAAATTATTTATAAAGTTTTTATCCTAATTCCTTACCAATTCTGGCCGCTGGGTAGTGACAGGAGCATATGGTAGGAGACGCATACATGGAGATGCTACCTTGTGATCCTCTTGACATTGACTGCTTAATGAAGGATTACTCAAAGTGCAAAGCACTCAATGCCACCCAAAGGGCTTGGAGACACGTTGCTTCTATCTTGATGCAACAAATTTTAAAAAAGTGGGGGGAAGGAGCTTAATAGGAAATGTTTTTAAATTTTGACATTTTTAAAACCTAAGCTAGTTACATTATTTAGACTTTCCTGCACACAGTGATTTGGCTGTATTAAATGTTTAAATCTGTCTTTGTCTCTTTCCTTATGACTCATGATTTTGTGTTTATTCAGTCAACCTAATTTTCTAGATGACTATGACTTATGTAGACTAAATTACTATTATTTTATTTAAGGGCTCAGTAGAATAAGTGGCTATCTCACGTAGACATAGTTCTGAGATGGGTTCGTAGGCTTCCGCGGCCGGAGTCAATGTATTCTTGGCTATCGGGGATGAGCCGTGTCTCAGTTGATTGGACTGATGTTTCGGCCATCTTGCTGCTGAGCAGTACAGCTCTGAAGAAGGCCACAGCAAGATGGCCGAAACATCAGTCCAATCAACTGAGACGCGGCTCATCCCGGATAGCCAAGAATTCATAGTTATGAGATAATGAGGCTGAGAAAATTGCATACAAGTCCATACTGGATTTAAATAACATTACTCTTGAATAATTTTTGAAGTTTTGTGTAATGCTAATAACTCAATTTCACAAATAATCTGGGATAGTCTGTTGTTCTACTGAGTCCTTCAATTGTAATTTGGATAGCAGTTTACATCAAAATAACAAAATATGTTTGCTATATGTGTAACACATAAATAGCTAGGTTTCAGAAATAAGATATGAATTGAATTGATTTGAGAATAAGAGGAGAATGGTATTCTCAATTAAGATTAGAAACATTTTATACAAAAACATCTTCTTGTTTCAATATGCAGGGGGAATCAAATAAATTCACTAATTTATATAATGAATTGTTGAGTAATTTTTCTCAATGTTAAAATGTTTCTCTTACAAAATGTTATGTCTTTATGTTAAAACTTCTGTCTTAATTGATTTTGTAATATCCCCTCAATCCTCTATGTACTTCCTCTTATTCTTAATCCTTTTTATTTATTCCAATGACATATCGTCATTTGATACCATACTTTCCTAACTGTAAGCTTTAAAAGATTTTTATCAAGGTGCGTTCCATATAACTAGTGACTAAGTACATTGACATTATGTAATTCTTCTATTTTAATTCTGTCCTTTGTTTAAAATATTGTATTTAATTGTTTTGACATGTTAACTCCAGCCTGGAGAAGGATATCTTTTTTCTGAAATGTTGCTGTTTATGGTTACACATTTTAGCACAGTAAAAACTACCTAAGCCAGAATCAATTGGGATAAAGAAAAATTCTGGTTTAAGGAGGTTTCAGTATTGTGTAAGGTTGTCCTTTATATGACATTTGTGATGTTGAAGTTTCTGCCCTGAAAGTAATAAATTACACAACATTATTATTATTATTATCAAAATACATCAGCATAATTTTCAAACGTGTAACAAATAAAAAAATGATTGTCTTAAAAATTGATTTGGAAACTTTTATCAAGAAAACATATTTCTGATACTCACATGGCCTTGAGCAATGCATATCTGGTCGACTGGTTATGATTTTCAATTCGGGAGAGGGAGACGTAAATAGAAGCTGTGGCTGTACACCTTCCCATGCTCAGAGAGTCGGGAGAGAGTGAATTCCCCTTCGGCCTATGCCTTGAGAAACAAGATATCTGAAGGTTGAATTCTACACTGCCTGCTGAAACCCATCTCCTTGAAGTCTGGTTCCCACGACTAAATTGAGTATTGTAGGGATTGAGAATTTAAAACAAGCTTGCAGATGCAGTTGTTTCATTATAAACATCTTGTGACTTTCTTCCAATAGCATTAAATTCACAGGAATTCCGTTTTACAAAGATTTTTTTTTCGTGCAGGACATGAAAAATCATCCTGTTTCCGCGTTGGAGAGGTTCTATTCTATGCTGTGTAAAATGCCATTTAACGTCACGTGTCGGAGTACTTTTCCGGTTGAGGCTAGTTTCCGGCTTGTACAAGTTCCAGTTTAGAAAGATTTTACTGTATATTGCAAACATTTTTATTATTTTAATGTAAATATGCTATCAAAATAAAATTTTCTGACTATATAATAAAGACCAAATACAGCGTTATAAACTAATGTAGACTCTTAGAAGAGGTTCTGCTCTTGAAGAAACAGTCAAAATTGTCTTACTTATGTAGTTTTGTACACAAACATTGGTGTGTTCACATCTGTTCTGAGTTAGTGAGGTTGGAAGTACAGTTTTCTAGAGAAGTACCTATAGTTCATTTGTTAGAAAAATGATTATATGGCCCATTTTCTCAGAAACTATTTAAGATGAATGTATCAAATTTTCTGAATATATGTATCTAAACATGTTTGAACTACTCAACGACAATAAAGGTAGATTGCAAAATTGCTCAAATTATGGATTAATCTCATCTTTAAAATTATTCTCAATTCTTTTTTAAAATTCTGTAAAACGATTTTATGATATGTTTTTCATTCAATTCTACTTTAATATAATGAGTAGTTAAAGAATGTACTGTAAAATTTTTGTAATTCTAAGTAAAGCAGTTTGTGAAATAAACAGAAATAGTAATTTTATCTCAGGCTAGATGGGGCCGTCAGACTCCCCCTAACAAAAAGTTGATTTCTATAATTTTAAAAAAGGGAAAAGAATAATATTCGAACAAATATTAGACTGTCAGTTGAGAGATTATTTCATTAATTTAAATATTCTTGCAGATGGTATGTTGGAGACATGTCCCGGCAGCGGGCAGAATCTTTATTAAAACAAGAAGAGAAGGAGGGCTGTTTTGTTGTGCGCAATTCATCCACGAAGGGTCTCTACACTCTTTCTTTATATACAAAAGTGTGAGTACTAATGTATTTGAAAACGAAGATTATAGAGATACATTTATTTAATTTAGATTCGTTGGGGTAGAGATAATGTATGGAAAGATGCCTGAAGGTTAAATTAATTTAGTTTCAAATGTGTTAACATGCTGGGCATAATTTTCTACATGGCATAGGTGTAATAAATTTTTTTTTTTAAAACCTGTTCAGCCTTGTAAAATTGTTCTGAAACCAAAATATTAGAAAAATATAATCTATTTTCAACAGTTAATACAAGAATTCACCTGGAATTTGTTCATAGTGTCACATGTTTTGAATGTTACTGAATCTATTTCCAATTAAATCAACGTTAAGTTTATTTTTGAATGTTCATTGGTTGTCAGTTACTTAAATATATTATCTTCTAGTGGAACGAAAGATTATTAATTATTTTTTTATATATAATAAGGAAACATCATGTTTTCTTGTTATATTCATGTGATTAACTGAATCATGAAATATAGTTATTATGACCAGTGCTTTTACATATTAATTAATTAATTAATTACAGTAATTTCCTCTGAAAGGAATACAGTGTTGTTTTTCATTAATAAACCAAGGATAAGACCCAACCTTCTTGAAGATATTACAGTTGTTGTTGGCTGTTACTCTAACTTAAACTACAAAAGTGTTATTTTTGAAGAATGTTTTTTAATATATTGATATAAAAAGGTATTCTAAAAATTGATGAAATGTTTTAATCTAAAAATAATAATTTTTTTCCCCTTTGTTTTAAAGCCCTCATCCGCATGTAAAACATTATCATATCAAGCAAAATTCTCGAGGTGACTTCTTCTTGTCAGAGAAACATCCTTTTAAAACTATTCCTGAGTTGGTGAATTATCATCGTCATAATAGTGGTGGTTTGGCGTCACGACTTAAGACGAGCCCCTGTGACCGCCCTGCACCAGCTACTGCAGGCCTCAGTCATGGTATGTTAGTTCTTTACTACCAGTGTACAAGAAATACTGAATACTCAGGTGACAAAAGAAATGATTGTATAATCTTTTTTCATGTGAAAATACTAAAATACAATTTTTTTATTTATACGATTTAGCTCTGAATATTAGTTAATTAAATGCTGTTGATGGAACTTATGCATGTTCTTATTTAGTAAAATTTTATTTTTCCTTTCTTATATTCAATGGTAACATAGCTTCTAACTAGGATTGGATCAAAAAATTTTCTCATCCTAAATGGTATTCATTAAACATGTTTCTAAATTTAATAAACTATTTTAATAGATTATAGTAATGTATGTTTATGTTGCATTATATGCCTTGTGAGAACTTTCTAAAGAAACTGAAGATGAAGTGCTTTCAGGACTTCAGAAATAGTTAAAGTATGTTATTTAATACTGAAGATTATAATTGCTTTTGCTTATCACTGGATGGCTGCATTTCAGATTTTTGTAGATCGATTAAGAAACTGTAATTTTTTTTCCTATTTAATAATTTCCTTATAACTTCCCAGCATGATTAGGTCCATCTCATTTCCACAATTCTTAACAAAAGATTTGTTGTATTTTAGATAAATGGGAAATAGATCCCCAAGAACTGATGCTGCTTGAGGAACTTGGGTCTGGTCAGTTTGGTGTGGTGAGAAGAGGGAAGTGGCGGGGATCCATTGACGTAGCTGTGAAGATGATGAAAGAGGGCACCATGTCAGAAGACGATTTTATTGAGGAAGCAAAAGTTATGACGTACGTGCATAGGCATAAAATGTGGATATTTTTATTAATAATCATCATTCATTTCAATAAAATGTACGAGTCAGTATACTACGATTTTATTTTCGTTTTTCTTATGTTAACAGAAAACTGCAGCATCAGAACCTAGTGCAACTTTATGGTGTTTGCAGCAAGCACAGACCTATTTACATAGTAACTGAATATATGCGGCATGGCTCCCTTTTAAATTATCTCAGGCGACATGAAACATCTCTTAGTGGTAATGTGGGGATGTTATTAGATATGTGTATCCAGGTATGTTAAGTGTAATACATAGGTGGTGTAAAGAATAAACTGCTTCCCCTGCACCTTCATGTGTCACTTCCCTTCCACATAAATCACTTACCATTTGCACAACAGCTTTCATTTTTTGGTGTCTGGAAAGATGTGTTTGTAACAGCGGCAGCTGGTGTTCCAACAAACTGAGGGTTGCAACTTTATCAAATGACAGAAATATAATTTCCAAAATTCAGAATAGTAATATTTAATAAAACGTAAGCCATTCATGTAAATTAATTAAAACTTAATTTAATGAAAGTCTATATTTAAACTTTAGGGCCATAACTTTTTTGGTATTGTTCCTCTGAGGTATGTTCACCTCCTGTGCACTTGGTTATGAATTTCCAGGGAGCACTCAAGTTATTGTATTAGTTTCCATTTAGACAATTGCTAGTAATAAAATTCATTCAAATCAAAAACAAACTAGGTTTTGAAAATATGGTGATTACTTTCTGGCATGTCATAACAAGCAGTTTTTCAGGAATGTATTCTCTCTTAAATTGGTAGAGATTCTTTCTTCCTTGAGAAGTATGATTTGTTGACAGCATCAACAACAATATCAAAAACAACCACAAACAACACTTGTAACTATCTCTGAAGGTCTTCCACACATTCATTCACGACCAGTTCACTCAAATCACAACCATTCCAATACTGTCGAGAATTCACTAAACTTATGGACTTCAATAACATGTGAAGTTCATAAAATTAATTCACAGCTTGGTTCAGGCAATGGCAGAAAATTGGTATTCCGCCAGATGCTATGCTCTGCTGCCAACACACTTTTTTAGCTCCTCCAAAAAGTTAGAAAGTGAAGATGTTTGACGTATGTGAGGAATTAATAATGTACAGTATTATAATCAGTAGCTTTGTTCGTAAATAAGCGAATATTCTTATATTTAAGAGACTGAAATGTGCTGTATTTTGCTACTTTGATTTTACAGCCAAATTGAAAATCCCTTCCAAAAAATGTTAACAACAATTTTCCTGTTGTTGGCCTGCACAATGAAATTGAACCCAATCATTGCATTAGCAGTTTTATAGTAGTTTCAGGAATTGCTTTTCCCCGACAAGTATTTTACATTGTGAAAATTAAGCTAGTGTTTTATTTATTTATTTTTAATAAAAAATTAGAATGTAAATTTGTAAATTATTTGAGAGAAAAAATTACAAAAATTAAAAACATTAAATTTCAGTTATGGTCAAAAAGGTTATTTGTTACTTGTCTCTGTTTACTGCTCAAGTTATACCATGAGATTGCTATACAAGTATATAAGCAGGTTAGTTAAGCAGCAAGTTAAGAAATAATTGCGGCATTTTTATTAAAGAACTGTCTTTCCGGCTCCTTTCTTTCAGTTTTTACATCTCTAAGCCAACAAGACCATTCTAATATCAGATCTTAGGACTGTACAGTATAATTTTCAATTTGCTTAACTTTCTCTCATGTGCTCTCACTCACATTCACACAGATATGTCCGTTTTTGCCGGTTTTTGCATAAAAGAATTTTCAGGAGGCACATGTTTTAATGAGATTTTACCTTCTTTTTTTAATTAATGTATTTTTGTTTTTCACTTAACTTAACCTTCTAAAGAATGACAGCCTAAGATGTCTCGAATGCTGAGAAACTACTTGACTAAAATTTTTGAATATTTAATTGAATCTAGTTTGTTCCTATCTCAGTGTATATTTCAAATATTTATAATAAAGAAGGCATAAACAGCATTTAAAATTAAAAAAAGAAGTTGAATTGTAATGTAAAAGCTTCTGTTTTACAAATAATTTACAAAACAGCCACAGTTTTCCAATAACACAAAACACATTATAAATATTGAAAAATAAAGTCTTCCAGTTCATGTATTTTGAAACCTTTGGTGCTCAACATACAAATTGAACTGTCCATTTAGAAGAAATAAATTATGTGCTAGCAACACAAATAGAATGTCAACAAACTGACATTTCTTGAAAGGAAACAATCGTTAACCCTTCATGCTCCTAATTATTCAGGTCCTGCATTTCTGTCAGATCGTTATTTAAGTGTCCGTGTTGCACTGCTTCTGTAGGCTCGCAGCACAATAGCTATTTCTACATTTTGGATACAAGAGGCATTTGCTTTAGAAGATCATGACAACATATTTGTGTTAACTTCACCACAATTCTAAGGAGTTCATAGACCAATAAACTGTCAAACATTGAAATGATATGACATGATATTTGATTGAATGTATTGTTCAACTCTGTTTGGGTCTTTTGATCACAAAATGTTTGGGGACTTCCCTGCTTTGTCATAATGTAATGGAAGACGTCCATTTAGTTTGAATCAACCAATTAATCTACCAATTAGTTGTCTAATAAACTAACAATCTGAAATCATTCAATGGGCATGTACTCATCTATCAGTAGTTTACTCTACAGTTGTGTGTATTCTATCAGAATTTGGAGGAATTCAGAGCTCAGAAATATATAAAAATTTTATGTCAAGTGAGAGTTGGTATTGGAGTGGAAGTCCAGTTGTTCAAAGATGAGCCCCCTTGACATAGGAGTGTAAAGAGTTAATACATTTAATTCTAGCCAAATAACAAAAATGTATTTGCCACAATTCTAACAGAATCTGTTGTGTAAGTCCTGATGATGAATGATCACCCGTGATGTAAAGGTGCCCACTCAAACAAAAGACCTTTTTTCTTTAACACAAATTGAACAAATGAATATGCTCACAGAAAATGCAGCCAAAGTCATTTGACGAATTGTGCTGTCAAGAAAATTAAGCATTTGTTCCGTCCTAAAAGACGCCTGACTTATAATACTACAGGTTGCTGAAATTTCTTCAGCATATCTTGGTTAAGAAAAACCTTGTTACGTGTCATCTTCACTCTTTCTCGTGAGTATTGTAAAATTCTGATGACAATCCTTTTAATTGAAATGTCAGAATTATTCACCCCTACACTCTTTATCTCATCCTCCTATTGGCAGTTTTTGCAGCAGAACCTGTTGGATAGGAAAAGGATGCTAAATCTCAATGATTATGAATAAATTAATGTGTTGTAGAGCAGTACCATGAGTCTTTTCATTATGTTTATCTTCGTTTAAAAATAATTGTTAGAATGACATAAGAGAATGTCGTAAGGGGCCATAAATATCCATAAATTACAGAACACCATTTTTGGATCGTTTTGAATACCCCATCTCCCCCTGTAAAGCATGCTTGAGCCCACCCAACCCTCCAAAAAAATAATTACGTAATGTGTGTGATGTCCCCACCTCCCCGTAAACACAAGATGTAAAAATAAATTATAGCAGAGTAAAAAAAATTATATTCACTTTACTTTTGTTGTATATTAAAATTAATGATAAGTAAGTACAAATTAGTTGCTGCTTGTACTTATCAATATGATTGGGACAAGTTGGGAATGAAGGAAGGATGCATAGCTAGAAAATTTAAATGGATTCTAGAATATATTACGTGTCAGTTTTGAATATTTTCTTCATAATCTTTGAGTTTCATTAAAAAATTGATGAAAAAAGATTTCCATTTATTATAACAATCTTCTAATAACTTTAATTTGTTTTGAAAACAAAATATTTAGTTAATATTTTAATGTTTTTGAACAATAAAAAAAAATTATTTTGGCAAAATATTGAAAAAAAGGGAATATCAATGTGATGTAACACTAAACTAATACCCCCTTACTCTCATGTAACATTGCATCAAACTTCCTCCCCCCTCTTTAGTGTTACGTAATTAATAATGATCCCTTATGTAGTATACTAACTAATCTCTCCTTGTGCGTAATAAATTTATCATTTGCAATTTTCTTTACACTTTCTTTCTGCTTAGATTCAAATTAATGAAGCCTTTTTTTTCTTCTAATTATTATTTTATTGTATTACGTTTCAAGGTTTGTAAAGGAATGGCCTACTTAGAACGACATAACTATATCCATAGAGACCTTGCTGCCCGCAATTGCCTAGTCGGAACGGAAAACATAGTAAAAGTTGCTGACTTTGGTCTAGCTAGGTGAGTAATTGTTGTTTATATGGAAGTTATTCTCTGTCTATTATATTTTGTTACCTACTGCATAGGTTTACAAGATTGCACTAATGTATAAAGGCAGATAAAGGTAAACTGAATGACTGCGTATGCGGTATATTCAATGGAATCTGAAGACATTGGAACTATCATCCATTCTGTGTTTTATATTTTTAATAAATTTTAAAATATATTTTACATCAAAAGCTTATTTAAAATTCACATTGACTTTATAAACTTTAAACATAACTTTCAGCCTAATTTGTCATGAAATAACATTGAGTGCAGAAATGGTGTTTATGTTTCAACAGTTTGAGAATCATTATACTATAAAAGTAATTTGTCTTCTAATTATTATTTTGTTACAGGTATGTTTTGGATGACCAATATACTAGTTCTGGAGGTACCAAATTTCCCATAAAATGGGCTCCACCAGAAGTTCTTAATTACACAAGATTTTCTTCCAAGTCTGACATTTGGGCCTACGGTAAGAGAACAAGAGAATACTTGTGCCATCAGAGCAGGGGTTCAGTTTTTAAAACCTCACATGATATCAGTGATCTATTTTAGTTACCATGTGGAAAACATTGTTACTGATGGGCTCTGTTGTTGGTACATTTACCAAAGCTACTTGGGAATCTTTAATAGAACAAAAATTAAAACTTTGGGGGGGGGTTCATTAACAAACCGATACCATATGTCAATTTTATTTTTATGAAATATCTAAAGATGAGTCAACCTTTGAGGCATTTTTCAATTGATATGGTAAAGTTTCAGCCCCAAACCACATTCATAACAAGTAAGCACTAGAAGATTCAGTTCTAAGGAACATAGTGAAAAAAGAATTGCTTGATTCATATAACACAATGGGTTTTCAGGTAGAGGATTTTTTGGGGTTAATTTTGCAACTTTTATGCTGAATGAAAGGGAAGGAGAGTACTGTGCCTTTAAGAAAAATGCATAAGCTCTTCAAAGGCAGTTCTGTCGAGCCTACAGTTTCATATTGACATGAAACACAAGTTCATGCCCAATCTAGCAAACGTATTGTGAATGTGGTGAAAGGGTCTTCTAGAGAAGGGTCTTGCAAGAAATGCAAGAAACATTGAAGGGTGTTAAAGACTTAGTGTGTGAAATTGTCTGAAGAAAGAACAAATGAATTGAAATTTTGAAGTGATGACCATGAGATATTTTTCTGTATGTTAAATAATAAAATCAACCATTGTAGAAAACTGCATTATGTTTTGGGATTATCAGATAAAGTGGACCAATATTTTAGGTTTACTATTCCCTTCATGATCACTTAGCTGAGGAAACAGAAAGTTAAGTGTTATAAAGCAGATCAGTATGAAGGAGAACGGTATTTACACAGAGAAGAATATCTCTGCTCTCATCTATAATGGGTCTGCTCACAATACTGTAACAATGGTTGAGATGTTTGCTGTAGTGAATTGAAAGGTGTGAAAGCATCGAATGTCATAATCAAAACTCCCATCACACATTTAAACTTTCCAAGCAGAAACCAGTTTCCATCTATTGTAATGAAATAATGATAAAATACTAATTAAGAAAGCCAATTTTGATGACATTCAGAGTAAATGTTTGTTGTTTGTTGGCATTTTCAGGAGTTTTGATGTGGGAAGTCTTTACCTGTGGCAAAATGCCTTACGGTCGACTCAAAAACACAGAAGTTGTGGAAAGGGTCCAGAGAGGCATGGTGCTGGATCGACCAAAGGCATGTTTCAAGGAAGTTTATGAAGTAAGTAGTATTTTATTTTATTTTTATTGTTTAATATAAAAGGTTGCACGTACGAGTCATTCCACGTCAAATCACACATTCACAAAACATCACTATTTATTAGCGACTTGACTTTTTTTTCCTTATTGTTTTTCTTCTTCTAATCTCAGGTTTTAACTGTAACTGGAGGTTTTCACTATAATTGGAGGTTTTCACTGTAACTAGAGCTGGCAGTATTAATAGAAACGATGGAATTTTACACTATTATGATATAAATGTAAATTTTCTACGTGCTATAGTTTTTGAGAAAATTTGAATTGAAAAAATATATTTTTAATTATTTATTTATCTAATCAAAAAAACAGTAAAAACTGTATGTGACATATGGGGGAGAAGATTATCTGCGCATTTTTTCGTGAGTTCCAGAATCCTTTCCCATCATTGTAACTATAATTAGTTGAAGGATGAATGTAAGTGAAAGATAAATAAATAAAATTTAAGAGACTGTGAGATTAGCAGCATTTGAAAAACTAGACATTTTTATTCCCAAGTTACAGAAAACATATTTGCAACGGTAAATGAACTACAGATTTTATTGTCTGCATTGTTAACAACATAGTAACTCATTCTCACAGATGTGAGAATCCTACCACTACAAGCAACAAAACGTGCACGTAGTGAAGCTATATTTACATCCAGAAGCAAAAAAGGGGCCATCTCAGCAGTTGCTCAATGATACAGGGAAACTGGACAAAAATCTGATTGAGATGGGAATCAGTGGTCTGGAAGTTGAAGTACATTATTTGTTATAAGCATATTAAGTCTTTTTTTAAAAAATATATATAATACAAATGTAAACTTAATTCATTATATATCATTGTTTTGTTAAATTAAACATTATTTTCCTTTTTGATGATCAGTATAGTCTAATTGTATAGAAACAGTTAAGCAGCAAACATTTTACTTTTAACTTAAATTTGTGAACAAACTTCAATTGTTAAAGTCATCTGGCAATACGTTGTAATGTTCATGTATCATATGTGGATTTCTGGTAGTGAGCTGTTGATACAGACACTTGATGTATGTGATTTCTATGACATATTGTAATTATAAATATCAGTATTGCATGAAAATATGTTTCCACCATTAAGTAAGTCAGTTTTGACAGATATTACAGATTCATAAATAAATAGGCAAGGCAATGGTGGGATACCTAACTCAATAAAGAGAGGCTTGCAGAGATGACACGGATGCCGTTTTTTCATTATTCAAATAATTTCTTTTGCCATCCAAAGGTCTGTGTACTACATGATGAACTTCCTCAGAATATTATGCCAGATCTCAGGCAGGAATGGACATTTTCAAAATACATGCAATGAGCTGCATAGGGGGTGACAGAATTTGATAGAATTCTGAATGCCTAACATAATGAACTTAATTTAGTGTTTCATTTTGTTATATGTACATTTCATTTGAGGTTTGACTGAATTGACAGACCTAGAAATTTTATTACCTGAACATCACCTAATTGCATATTATTCATTTTCAATGGAGCATGCAATTGCCGATTTGAAAGGCAAAAGTGTATTGAAACTGTTTTTCCTTCATTAACTATTAATTCGTTATTACAGAACCAATTTGAAACATCTGAAATTGTACTATTTATTGTTTCTGTTTTGCTAAGAACATTCGCGTCATCGGCAAACAGAACCGTTCTTTCGTTTTTAATAGACGACGGCATACCGTTTTTCGTATCACAGAAGGGGATAGGATGTAAGATCGAGTCTTGCTGAACTCCATATTCAATTGGTAAATAATCGGAAAGATAAGTAAATAATGTCTTTTCGTGCAAGTACGGTATTTCTACTCTTTGAAATCAATGTTTAAGGTTCAGGGTTATCCAATCTAGGGCGATTACACAAATTCCATATGAAGGTAATATTAATAGAAACATGATATGGTCAATGACGTCAAAAGCTTTTGAAAGATCTAAAAATATTCCAATAAGTGTATCATTTGGGTTTTTGGCAGTTTCTGTAGCTGTTGATTTTCTAAAACTGTGTTGCGAGTCTGAAAACACTTTGTGTTTCCTGAGAAAAGTTTCCATTTGAGTATAGAAAAACCTCTCTAATATTTTTGGGAAAACTGACAAAAAAATAAATTTGGCGATTTCGTTTTTGCTCCCTTTTTTAAAAAGTGGCTTACTTTTTGCTGCTTTGAAAATGTGGTAATATTCTTGAGCATAAAGAAGCATTGAAAATTTGAGTGAAGCATTGAAAATGTGAGCTGTATAAAGGCATGTACACAAGTTTTCAATAAACAATCTGGAAATTCATGAAAACAAGGATATTTATTTTTTTGTGTACAGACTATTCTCAGGATTTTGTTAAAAGTAGTTTCGGAAGTAAACATTGTGTCGAAAATTTTTTGGGAAAGGAATGATGTTGAATTTTGAGTTTTTAGTCCCTTTGTGATATCAGCCGCAATTCTAGAAAAGTGTTTGTGGAAGAGATTTGCCTCTTTTTCCGGATTACTTGCTTGTGATTCATTATCCTTTAAAACAACATTCTCTACTGAGAACCGAGATGATGTGATCGTATTATTTACGATATTCCACATTGTTTTAGTTTTGTTGCTAGCATTCAAAATATCCTGAATATCATTATTGAATATATAATTGGATTGAATATTTAGTTATAGAATATATTGGATTGATAAATATAGTACTCACATCATCGCTGTAAAAAAGTTAATTGATTATCCACTTTATATGCGACATTAAGAAAGTAAATCATAACTCTATGTTGGGGACAAAAATTTGAAAACATTGAAAGACTATTGTATATAATTTAAACTACATCTAAACTACTATAAACCTGACATAGGTCCATCTCTCACTGTTAACACAGAATTTTTGAAAATTGCAAAGGATTGAATTTTTTTGGTATCTTCCTATAACTACAAAATGGTCAGATATAACTTTTTCCTTCAATGAAATTTGTTCTCCTTAATTAGTTATTTCGTTACACCTATATGCATTTTTTGAAAATTGTTATCGTTTTCTCACAGTATTGCGTGAAATATTAAAAAATATCCATAACAAAAATGTCTCAAATGGCTTCAATTTTTTTTATTTATACTTTTGATAGGGGTAATGCTAAATGTACTGTGTAAAATTACGTAAACATTTTGCTCTATTCTTTTGTTTCTTGAAAAATTACAAAGATGTAATTTTTTAGGCATCTCTCTCGAGTTGTTAATATTTACATTATGTACAATGTGTATACGTTATTACAACTTTTAAATCAAGTGTTTCAAATGATATCAAAAACTTAAAAGTTTTGTGTGAAAATGATCTCAAATTTTCCGCATTTCCAGAAACGCTCAAACATAATTTTAATAATAGCTCCAGATTTTTTCTTCAAACATTTTGTGCAGAGAGTGCTAAATGGACTGTCTAAGATGACATAAAAGTAATTTTTTTGATATATCTCATGCTCTTAATATGTACATTTCCAGCAATTTGTATACATTATTGCATTTGTGAGTGGAAGTGCTTCAAATGACTTTTAATGTGATTTCTCAATAAACTCAAAGGTTTTCTGTAGAAATGTGTTTCAAATTTTGCATTTACAGTAACGCTTTAACATCTTAATCCAAATTTATCAATGAAAATTTCCATAATGTAAGACGTTTTTCTTTTCTTTAACATTCTTCGAGTAACATTTTGATCCTACCATTAGGAAACCAAAAAATTGGGAAGGTTTCAAAATAATGTACTTCAGGCAGCAATAGTTGGCAGATGGCAAGTGGATGGGGTGAGACCGGAAAGCTAGTTCAAATCAAACCAATTAGAAGACTAACTAGTAAGAGAAAGTCTGTGCCAATCTGTTGAATCACTAGTTTCTTTCTCATAAGAGTAACAGAGTAATGTACCTAGTATAGAGAAAGTTATGTAATGCTGTAGAAAATTTATTTTGAGATTTCAATGGAAATAAAAGTTATGGGGTGTCCATATGCAGAAAATGTTTGTTTTTTTTCAACACATCTGCCTGTCTGTCTATCGATCGTCTGTGAATAACTTTAGCGCCTATATTATGCGTAGGATTTTTGCCAAACTGAATACTCAATTGATTTGACCTCTCTCAAAGCTCTGCTATTTTGATTAACTTTCTTTAATTTTGGGGAGAACTTTACAGGATAAAGTGTCTTCATGTAAAGGTTACGTAAAGTATCTGGCACATTTTCAAAATTTTCTCAAAAATGGTAAAATTTTTGGTACGAATAGGGCAAAATACATTTAGAAAGGAGGCATACATCTGATTTTTCACTGTTATCTCTTAATTTTGAAATGTGCAAATGTTTGGAAGTTTTTTGGCTTATTTTTACAACTACAAAATTGAAGACATATTTTTCCTTTCAATGAAATTTGTTCTCCATAATTAGTTCTATCATTTCACCTATATACATTTTTTTAAAATTATGGTAGTTTTCACACAATATTGAACGAAATTTAATATGGGGTCCAAATTTTATCTCTGAACTTTTTGTACGAATTGTGTAAATGCACTGTATATGATAACATAAAAGTTACTTTGATGTATTCTTTTGTTTCTTTATTTTTAAAATAACACAAATTTATTTTTTTAAATGTATCTCACAGCATTAATATGCATATTGCCTGTGATTTGTTTACATAATTGTCTTTTTAAATAGATCTTCAAATAACTTCTAATGAAATTTTTCAAAAACTCAAAAGTTTTTTGTGATAAAAGAGATTCAAATTTCACACGAGAAAGTATGTGCCAGTCTTATGCCAGATGTGCCAGATGCCGTATGTGCCAGACTTATCATTGTGGGTGGTTATTTATTCTTGTGCCAGATTATGCGCAAGTGTTGGAGCCGTTTACCAGAGGACCGGCCTTCATTCCGCTTGCTGAAGGAGGAGCTGATTGCAGTGTCGCAAGGATTGGCCGACTGACTCACGCAAGCCCACTGGGCTCTCCTCCAGGCATCATCGCAGTCCCCCGCGCACAACTCCTCCGCTTCACAGCAGCATCAAGCTCTGACATTTGGCCCCGAGACTTGCATTTTCTGCACCTCTTATGGCCATCCATGGCTGGAATTATGCCGTGCCATTCAAGCAACTCATTCAAAATGAAAATGTGTCGTCAGTGTGTAAGTTTCTTTGTGTCTCTGTGTACTGTAATTGTATATATTACTCTGTCAAGATATGAGTGTTCCTGGCAGTGGGAGTGCTACACAACCAATTGCAAGCTGTTATGGAATCATGGGAGAATTTTAAAACAAGTCAATTGAAATTATATCCCACTTGTATGATTGTACAGATCATGCTAGTACATAGTTTGTAAACAACCAGGAACTGAGAGGAGTGTCAAGGTAAGAATATAGCTGACAGCTGTGAATTCCTTCTTGATCATCATTTTCTTGTTTTAAAAACTGCATTAATAGTTTCAAGAGTTTTACTGTGGAAAATACATTTTTTGTACTTGACAAAGAGTGCTAACACTACTGTGTAGTATGCATTTCTCTAGGAACATTAAAATGTTTGTTGTTAAATGGTTACATCATACACAAATGCAATATACTTCTTTTCTTTTGTGATTGTTATTTACTCTTGAGACCTGGCAATATTTTGTTGTTTTTTATATTTATTTTCATATTAGTCTGGATGTGAGTAACAGTTAAAATGGTAATACGATAGAAACTCGACAATGAGAATACAAACAAAACTATTTTTACAAATGAAAATTTGTTTCATAATATTCTGACTTGTTATAGAGTTTATACATATTTTATGTAGTTTGTCATATTGCCGATGAAAGTTAGTGCTAAATAATCTTCTGGCCTTATACTTTAAAGGAAATCTAAATGTTATAAGGCTTCTAACTTCAGAGAAAGGTAGTTTGTTCTTTAAAAATACTTATATGTTCTGAATAGTAATAAGTTTTCTATTCTTTTTTAACATTTCTATGTTATGTTTGTGGGGATCTTCTTTAGTAATGCTTTCCAGAATATAGCATAGTGAGAGTGTGAGTGTGAGTGTAAGTATTTTCAGTTTTGCTTGTGTACATTTGACTTCATGTATTTTTGAGGTTAAGTAAAGTGTGAAGAACATTTATTTTAGAATATTATCATTCTTACAATTTGTTGATAACATTTTTATTAATAACTTCCTTGTAAGTTGTTCAGATTAAGAACTATTATGTCTAAGACATTTCTTTAAAAGTGTCTTTTGACACTTTTTCCTTGCTTCCAACATGTAACAAGTTGGAATGTGTACTCTGTAAGATTTCTATGCTTTTCTCGTGACAAAAGGTTAGCATGGGGAACAGGCTGTTGTTTGACACAAACAGGAAACAGAATGATCAACACTGCACTCAAAATGAACAAAACTATTGAATCAAACAAATTATAATATTTTCTTCATTTGTATGTGAAGTCAAATGCGTGTGTTTGTCTGTGTGAATGGGGGCAAGAGCTTTAGTATACTTGTTTACATACATGTCAGAGTGCGTCAATGGCATGTATCATTGGCATTCACTGTTTGTATAGAAACCAGAATATTTGATTTTATCTTAAAAGATAATGTTATAGCACCACCTCAGCAACATAATTTGACTAGTTGGATGATGAGAATATCTTAATGGAACATGATCTCAATGTGAATTAATTTAAATAGTTCAGTTCCTATACTTATGTACAGAATTTCATCACAGTGAGAGTTGTGATTTGTGTATTGGGAGAAATCTTCAGTCAATGCCGGATTAATAAGTAACTTATCAGGGACCTAATCTAGATTGAGAATTTAAGACTATAACTTATAATGCTGAGTAATTTGTTTTTGAATGGCTCGTGAGTTGAACATGACATATTTAGATTAGGTTAGAAACAAATATAATTTGGGTATTTTGAAAAAAAATTTATATCTGAGCCCATTTTTTTTCCATCAGTTAGATTTTTTGTTCTGTACCTAGATCTGAAAATATCATACACATTGTACACTTTTTGTTTAGCTATTGACTAAATTTGAAGTCTCTGCAAATGTGAAATTATATTGGCTTTACATATCTACATTTCATGATTTTTTAAGAATTAAATAGAAACAATTGTTTTTAATATGAATATGATGTGAATTCCATTGTTTACAGAACATTTCATTGACAGGAATAGAGCAATTAATGCACCTTTTATTCAAATGGCATTATATGCTTCTCTTTGTAATTAAGGAGGGATGTAGGCAGACTTACACAATATAATATTATAATTTTTTAAGCGGCGGGGATTTAATGTAGTAGAAAAAAGTGTATATCCAGGAATATTTTTATTATTAAATACGACAATTTATAGAAATTGTCTATGACATGAACTTTCAAATTTTTAATATTTTACTTTATGAAGGTATTCTATTTTGGAAAGCCAATTGCATACAGATTTGTAAGTTTGCCGAATTGCTCCTGAAATACAAATAAACAAATGTGTGTGAGGAATTTGTGGCATTAGTTAGTATATTTTGTTAAAAATTAATTATTGAAGATGTGTCATGTTAGTTGCAAAAACTTTGAAATTAAAAAATTATTTTGTAGAATATTTTAACATCTGTTATGTTTATTTTATTGTAAGTTTCTTGACTTTAATAAAACGGTCAGAGCTTTTTATAACAATTTATTTCATGTTATATATTTATTTCATGTTATATATTTATTTCATGTTTCGACTGTATTTGAGATCTTTTTCAAAAAGACTTTGTAATGGTGTCAATTGATGTGGATACTTGGTATGTCTTAATTTGTTTATTATTATTATTATTATTATTATTATTATTATTATTATTAAATTCGTCTAAAGTGCATTACTTTATCAGGTATGTGTTGCCATTTTATTGAATATACTCTTTTTTTTTTTTTTTTTTAATCACCCAAATAGGGTTAAAACGTGATAATATATCACGTGAAATAAATTGTTATGAAAAACTTGGGCCATGTTTATTAAAGTCAAGAAGCTTCCAATAAAAAAAAATCATCACAAAGGAATCTGAGCAAATATAGACAATTCTTACTCAGAAATTTCTTTTTCTTCTTGATTTTGCAACTCTTTTTTTCTCTCCCCCCCCCCCCCCCCCCCCCACACACACACCAACACCTTTTCATTTATTTCATAAGAGTGTAACATTTCTACACAAAAATATTCACTAATAGCTTAAGAAAGAATTTCCAAGTCTTTTATTCTGAAACCACTGCCAACATTCTCTTTTCCATCTTCATTACCAAATCTCCATTTTTTTTACTGCTTCAAGCACTAAGGAGAGTTTCCAAAACAGAAATACACAATTATGTGACAAGTTTGCATTCTCCAACATTCTGAATCTCAATAATTCATCTGTTTATGTTTCATAATGGAATTTTATATATTTGAGCTTTTTGCACTTCCTTTGGCCACTGGTCACTATCCATGTTACTATCATTCCAGTGACTTCACCACACATCAATTTTCATAAAATCAAATGCTGTCAATGAAGACAACTGCGATCAGAAGAGAAACACACTTCAAAACATGTAAGCACTAGTTTGTGTAGGGGAAAATAATCACTATGTTGTAAAACAGTTTTCCAAAAGCCTGTCAAACTGATCCATGACCAACCCTTCTCAATATATCTCTACTGAGATGTTATTTAAATTTTATAGGTCTTCCCACAACCTAATTGATGCGAAACTTCAGGACACGGTACTAAAAACTATGGGGAATAATAAGGGAATAAAAACAAAGATCAATTTTTGCTTTGTTTTGTATTCTGCCTACCTCTTAATGAAAGCGTAACTAGTAATTTTCTACAGAAATAAAATAAAAATTAAAAATATCCAGCTGTTCATGGCATTGAAACTAACTAACTAACTATAAATCTCCGGAAAAAAATTATTGATATTTTTTAAACATTTTCATGGAATTTCCTTTTTCTGTGGCATTAAAAATCTAGAATTTCATTTCTTATTGATTAGGGAAGAGATACCTTGTAGAAGGAGAAAGAACTAGTGTGTAATGTGTCCAGAAGTGGTTTAGATCATTTAGCCATATTTCTTTCTTTTATATACTATGAGCAGGAGCATCAATGTCTGCATGTGTGTGAGACATAGTCTGAACCTGATCCTTGTGTTTTTGAAATAGACTTCATGGTGTAGTCTACTAACTGTTCCTACATCTCTTTCTTCATTTTAGATATTCCAACATTTCTTCTTCTTTGTGGTTTGTAGTGTAGAATTTTTCTCAGAAATCTTGTTTTTTGCATATTTTTTTTTATATGAAGCAGCAGTGTGATTACCCCTTTTATTTCCTCTATTGTGTTTCTGACTTAATAAATTTCTCTTGACATCATATGAATTTTTTTAAAATCTGAATTCACGGGTATATATAAGGGCACTTAAACTTCAGCAATGGAACTAAAAGTATCTTCATGTTATAATTAATATTGGAATTTTGACTGTTTGAAACGGTAACTTATTTGACACTTTTGTAATTCATTTTTAACATAAAGAATGAATGTTTTTTAATATCAATTTGACCTGACAAATAAGTTCGCATTTTATAAGTAGTGACGTTTTTCAAGTTATTTTGTCTGCGGTAGTATGCATGTCAAATTGTAATCCACACAGACATTATTATTATTACTACTACTATTATTATTATTATTATTATTATTATTATTATTATTATTATTACTGTTATTCATAATTTGCTGTTGTTTTTCTTGTAAGATTACTGACATGTTGAAAATACATGGGTAGTTTTGTTGTGTGAAAGATAAAGTATCATTAATATTGCCATTTAAAGTTGGAAAAGAAGTGTATTGCATTGGAAAGTTTGGCTTGTCTTTCTTCCTCTTTTTTGTTTATTATTGTTAAGCATTGGTTCAGAAGTGCAACCCAGTGATTTGCTAACTTGATTTTCTTGATCAATTTACTTGTTAAACCTGACTAAAAATTTTTTAACATCTTATTTAATTTACACAGTTTTCACTTCCATTACTAGAATTATAAATTTAACAACATGGTGAACTTTCAAATGATGAGACTTCCAGATAATATTCAGAGCAGTATTTTATGCCATTCCTTCGATATTCTTTATTCCTCTGTCCTTTCATACAAAATTATGCATTGCAACCCTACACTTTTTGCAAACAAATCCAAGTAGAATTCCAATCCAAATGTTAAGTTATGAAGCTACACCCACATCCTCGATGGTGTTCATAACCAGAAATTTTAGGACCTCTCTTGGATAAGAATGTTTGGAGAACTTTTTGCCATGCAGCATTAACATCACTATGTTGAGTTTTCTGCTCCTTGAAAATCCACAGGCTTCAGCCAGGATTGAATCTGCTACTTTGGGCAAATGGCTAATGAGCATATTAATACTTTGTGAGAGGCAGCCAGTTCATGAAGAGAGAACTTTCTCTTATAAGTGTTTTATAATTCTTTAAAAGTATATTTGGAAGAATTATTAGTCTGAAAATAAATATAAGAAATCAAAATTGAATGTCGTCTGCAGTTCTTTCAAATAGAGGCGAACATTTCTTACTTTCTTATATTAAAATTCTGCCTTTACCTTCACTCATAATAGTGTGTAGTGAGAGAAAGTAGAAAATCTAGAGCTCAGGAAGACGTACACCTGCATATACCATGTGACTCAACATAACTATTTTTTTATTATTATGATTATGATTATTATTATTATTCAGATATTTTTCTGTTCAAAAATATTACATTTATTTCAAATTTAGGGTAATTGAAAATTGTGGTAATTTCCTTTAATAATCCTAAGTCCCACAAAACTGGTTGAAATCAGTTTGTAATGTCTATTGTTTTAAATAATAAACTACCTTTCGCTGGGGCAGCACTCTGGACCTTTGCTGAGAGCAGTGGAGACACTTTCATTTCTTCCAAGCTCATAATTGGGTAATATTTTGCTTTGAACTCTGAATCTCACTCCATTTTATTTTCCCTTGATATTTTAAATTGTAAGGTAGAGACGATTATGTATGGTGCAGTGGTGCAGCTTCAGAATAACAGATAGTGCAACACAAGCAATGGTGCTCAATTAATAAATATGTAGGTGCTTTTGTGATTCCATTTGAGTGAATTCTTATTTTTGAAAGGGTTCAATTAAATGTAATAAAAACAATATTCATTGGTACTTATTCCCTCTGTACAATTGTTTTTTGAGCCATCTTTCTGCAATTTATGCAGCTGGTTTCATTAATACACTTCCATGTAGGAAAAACTTAGGTGTGCACACAGGGGGGGGCTTTGAAATTTTTGAAAGAAGCCCTACTTAATAAGGCATATTATTTTTGTAAATATGAAAAATTCTTTATTTTCCCCTTTTTTAAGCTCACAGTTTGGGGAATTGACACATGGTATTTTGGGAAAGGGCATTCCAAAACTTATGACAACCCTGAAAATGGTCTAACATGAAATCAGTTGTATTAATCACATCATCAAAGACATAATCTTATTTTCTTTGTAGTATGTTATATTTATTTTGTAGTTAATTATGGCATAAGAAAATAAAAACATTTCATGGAAAAGGGGATTCTGAGGGGCCTCCCTCTTCTTTTAAGGTGTGCACACTTATGAGAAAAAGGATAAAGAATTGAAGACCAGCTAGCTGCAGACATTTGGAAATCTGAATTAACCTTGTGCTTGCTAAATCATGGTATCTACTTTACACAGGCAATCAGTGTTATCTCAAATGTATCATGATTTCTGAGAGAGATTTGTTTGTCTTAACAATCTATGAGGTAATTGATAATATTTTATAAGTTTAAGGAGTGTCTGTTTTGAACTTCATTATAAACATTTTTATCCTCTGCATTCAAATGTGCTCAGTCAATTGCGAGGAACTGGGCATAAATTAAGAGACCCAGCTTTCTTTGACCTTCTGAATTCTAAATCTTTTCAATATTTTCACAATCACTCTTGTTTATTGGAAAATCACATGCTACTCGTGAATAAGAAACTGGATTACACGTTCTTTAACTGGAAATACTGTTTGCTCTTTCTATCTGCCTGTCTGAGAGATGCAATGTCTTAGGTACAGATGCCAAGGTTTCAGCCATTATTTTACTTCTTCAAGACGAAATGTACATGCAAATCACATTTTGCCTTGAGGAAGGTCACAGCATAATAGATGACACTTTGGCATCTGTGCCTAGGACATAGTATTTTTCAGATAGCCAAGTTGATACTTGATGTGATGACTTGAGTCACGGAAGCCTAAATGTTTACTGTTTGCTCTGTTTTCAGGAAAATTTAAATTTCAGGTGGTGCTTTTTTATTTCTTTTTAATTCTTACCACATCAAAAGAATAATTCTTATCAAATATACTTTCATTTTATATACATTAATTTTTGTGTGAGAGGCTCTGCAATTGCACCTAATAAATAGTGAACCTGTTCCATACTTTTTTGCATAATGTAAAGTGTTCCAGTGTCACATTAAATTTATTACTGTTGATATCTGAAAACAATAATTTGTAAATATAAATAACTACAATACTTGTTTGCTTAAATGTTACTGAAATGCTTATTAATTTTATTGCTGTTGGTAGAGCACTTGTTTTTATTAAAAGAATTAAGGAGTAGTTAAATTTTGTAAATTGTAGTTTGGCATTGTTGTAGGCAAGAGCTTATAGCTTTCCTAACTATTAAAAATGTATTAGTTGTGTGATGTATCAAAACAGTGTAGTGAATCCAACTTTTTTTAAATTGATATTATAAATTATAAAAAAGCATTAAAAACTGGATGTATGCAACTTCTCACAATTAATGAATATTTCAGTAAGAAGATGAAACTGTGATATTTTCTTGAAAAAGAGTATAAAACCAAAAAGTATGCTGAAAAAATAAAAATATGACACCAGTGTAAATTGTCTAAGAAAATGATGTATAATTCCCAAACACATTCACCCCACCATCAAACTACTCCTTAGACTTCCACTCGACAGACAACTGAAATGTGTCTTTAATTTCAAGGTTCTCGTTTTTTTGAATCTTTAAGGAGTGAAAGGTAAACTTTTAATTTGTCCTTTCTTACTTTAATTCTCAAAAATGTTTTTTTAATTTACTTTTTGATTCAACGTACAGATGCTTCTTAAAGTTTATTAAATGTATTACTATAATACGTTACAATACACTCTATTTCCTGCTGATAAAAAAATAAACTACTTGCATTCTGTGCAAAGATGCAGCAAACTATTTAACTGAAAGTAATCTAAAATGACAATTTTATTTTACTTATACAAATGAAGTAAAATAGTATATTATCCACGATGAGAAAGATTTTCACTTGCTCCTTCGTTGCTCAGGAGGTAATACCTTCCTCTTGTAAACGAAGTTGGATCTCTTTGTTTCCGTATTACTAAATTATTCTTTGAAATGATAAAATAAAAATTAACCTCTTAAACACGTACTTGTTACCTCAATTTACGAATTAACTGCTTCATGAAAAACGTATCTAAGAGTAGCTAAGAAACATTCAATTACATAGGAAGTTGTGTTGCATTTAATTCTTTTTGAGAATATGAAAATAGAGGGAATAGCCCACATGTATTGTGAATCAACTGAACTTTCATTTTTTGGTCTTTGTTTTGTTTTGTTTTCTTTGAAAACTAAAGCAACCAGTTGTTAAAACGTAAATTTTATTTTTGTAAAAGCCTGTCATCACATTCTCAACTGGCAAAATTGAAAGGACTAATTAAAACATAGTTACAACATATTTCTTTGGTTGTGAGGTTCATTTGGAAGTCATCTATTTATGATTTTTACAGCAATTTTCTGAATATTTGTCAGTTGTAAAGAAGTTGCAAACATCTGAACACTGTCTGAAGTCTATATGAAAACTTAATAAATCATGAATATTCTCCTTTTTCATGAATTTCAAGTTTATATGTCAGCTTGAGAGATTGCACCATGATTTTTTTTTTTTAATTTCATAGCATCATTAAATTTATTCTGTTGTGTATTATCCATTATCACATATAAATTATGCAACTGTCTGTTTTGGGACTATTACTTAGTCTTTTATAAATTACCAGTTGGTGCAATTATTATGTCAGAAAATGTTGTGGTGCTGTTTTGAAAAGGGTTAACTCATGAGTACATTTCAAGTATAAGTGAATAAAAATTATGGGCAAATATTATTTTTAAAGAAAAAAGATAGGAAAACATGAGATAAAATTTTAAAATTTGAAAGAAAAAAATTCTAAATTATTTTTAATTCACTTGTTCTATGATGCGAGTTAACCCTTTTGTTTAGCTGCCTCTTTATTGTTTCTTTTTGAAGAGTTTCTTGTGTGTTAGAGCTTAGAAACTTTATCGGGTGGACATTTTTGAATGATGCATACCAAAAGAGTTTCTGAATATCAGTTGAATTCAGTTTATTAGCATGAATTCTGCCAATTGGGTAGCTTAAACATTGTCAGTATTTTGTACTGAGATATAAAGTAGTAGAAATAACCCCAGAGGAAGAAGTAGATTACTTATTCATAAGTTCAAATGATGATGTAAAATAAAACTACTTATGTATGAGATGCACAGCAAGAAATTTTCTAAATTGAATGTAATAAGGAAAATGCATAGGTGTTTTTATTTTATTTTGATTTAACTTCAGATCTGACTCATGAGACTTTTTAAACAAGTTTGATGGTTACTTCAGTGAAATGTCAAGAGATTTGAATTGAGAAAAGTGGAATCATCTATTTAGAAAATATGGTCTCAGCATTTCAATTGATTGTGAGTCTCAAGTTTTCTGTCTATTTTATTAATTTAATATTTGTGTAATATAATCCTGATCTGAGCTTACATTGTGAAAGTAACTACCAGTTTCGATTTTTCATAATAATTTTATTCTGTTCACCACTCCTATATTATATTTATAAAAATTTGTTTTGCTGTTGATAAAAACTAACTTGGTATCTATAGAAATGAATTTGTTGACATGTATAGGTAGTACTAGTCATGTGGAACTATGGTGATGTGTTGTGTATAATACTGCCAATACCAGGAGTGTTTCAAGCATACTGAAAAAAGCCACAGAACAAACAGGGCTGTGAAAATTTGAAGATGCAGTGTTGTGACACATAGATCTGACTGGACATATCTAATAGTGAAACTAACCAATCGCACAAAATGATGTGAACTCATGGGTAGTACTTATTTTCATATTTAATCATGTGAGTCATTGTTGCTGTATGGAAGAGATGTGATAACATTTAGTTCCTGTGTTTCTGTATTCATGTTTAAAGTGATGTGTAGCTTTTTGGAAGGTAAAGAAGATATAGTGCTAAAGGATCGATATCTAATGGTTCTATTGAAATAATAAGAATATGATTGACACTTGCGAGACTGAGGAATTCCAATGGAGACCACCAAGCCAAAGCTGGCTTGAAATAGAAAAGTGGCTGTAATTGGTTACCCTGTGCATGTGTCAATCTTAGGCATATTTGAATAAAGTTTAAGTTAGGATGGTGCAAGAAATAGTAATTTCCTCCCTGCCTTACTGTTAACAGAAATTCATCAGCACTATGGCATTGAGTATTGAGGACAATTTTTGTTTCACAAGTTATTGATATATATCATTGATCATTTTTATATATATTTATATATAATTGTATCACATTGATTGAGATTTCTGATATACTTTTCACAATGTTGCCCTCTCAAGAAGTTAGTAAGTGTTGCACTATATCATTATCAAATTCATTGAAATCCAAGTTGGACTTTTTCGGTTTTTTGGAAAAGTATCCAATTTCAAGAGTTGTACAAGCAATATTCATTGTACAACATCCAATTGCGGGAAAAGCTATTCAATGTAGAGGAATCTCCCAAATGACTGTACTTCATTAGTCTTCCTTCCAAACTTATTGATGACACCAATAATTGAAATATTCTCCAATGGTGGTAAATAATTTTTCTGCTCTTAAGTATTTATTGTAGTGAGAGTAGGGAAATAACATCAATATTGAGAGAATTTAAGTTAATTTGGCCTACAGAAGAATGCGTATGCACTGCAGGCAGACTAAACAATATCTTCTTTATCTTACCAGAAAATAGTTCTTGATTATTTGTATTCCTGCGTGCCTTATGTTGCTTTAATACTGTCTTTTGACTGCAAACTATTACTGTTTTCTGCTGGCCTTTGAACAAAAAATTTGTCTTTAACTTGAAATTGTTTCAACAATTGATATTATAAAATGAAACATTGTTTTAAATTGTTGAAAGTATATTTTATTGAATGTGTTAAATTTACTAACTACTGCCAATTTTTTTGATTTCTCATGGTAAAAAATCTCTGGGGCATTTAGAGAAGTTCTAGTCCAGAGAGTCATTGCTGTTACAAAACATATTATATAGTGTGTTTCAAAAGAATTATAGCAGACACAAAAAGGTTAATATCACAACAGGTATCTTGTCAAAATAAGGCAAGGCAAAGCCTCAGCTGAAATTTTAAGGACCAAGGCATTGCCAGTTTCAAATTAATTTAATACAGTGTTTTCATTTATATTATTTGTAACATCTGAAATTCTTAGTTTTGTGCATCACTGTTATCTGAAGTAAGGTTTCTCGTCATCTCCCAAAAACCTCAATGAGTATGAAGGTCATGAATATTTTCAAAATGAATTGATTTTAGACATCCTTCTTGGGAACTTTCTCTTTATTTTATGCTTAAAGGCTGGTTTTCTTAGTGATAGTAACACTGAAAGTTGATATCGTGGTGGCAATTATCACATATTCTGTCATTGAAGCAGTTTTATAGTCTACGAATTTTTCTCGTGGTAGTAAACTTTAAATATCAGTCGGAGAGATTAGATGCTACTTTCTGGAGTTCTTTCATAGTTCTGTCAGCCTCCATTTACCTCTTAATCTACTCTATTTTTGTTCTAGTGAAACCTTAATACCTGGTAATTTTGCTCAAAAAGGTTTTGATATTATTTACATGTTCTTTGTGCATGAGAGTCTTATAATATTCATGTAATTGGACCAAAAGAAAGCCAGAACTTCCTTGCCATTGTAGTGAGTGTGTATTACTTCCAGAGATGCTAATGTTCATTAATGTAGGTAAACTGATTGTGTGATCAAACCCATGTGTGAATGATGAAAAGTAATGTCTTTCAAGGTTCTGTACAGATATTAATAGAAATATTGTGGTAAGCATATGTTGCACATGTGTGGTTTGCATGCACGTGTGATCCAGTACAGATTGAGTGCAATGCTTAGTCTTAAAATAAAAGTATTTGCAAAGTTTTTGCATTTTTTTTTCCCCTTCACTTTTAAGCTTTAAGAATCACAGATAATATTCTTGTTTCTCCTGAAAAGAATGTTTTCCATGACTTCCCTTCCTTTCTTCAAAATGAAACTACTTTGATAGCTATATATACTTGTACTAAAAATATTGAAATGGTGGTAATAATATGCTGTCTTTTTGTTCTTGTTGGATGTGTTTTACTTCACTACACCAGTCATTCTCAGAACTAGAAACTGAGTCAAGTTAGTAAAAATACTAATTTTTTATCTAAACTAAAATTGATCAGAATATACTAATCTGAAAAAAGGACACTTGAGAGTAAGCTGGAACATTCATAACTTAGTCATTTCTGGGGGAAATCGTAATTTCACAAGGAGGAACTGATGTGAGATCCTGGGGCTTCAGTACAATCTCCCCAAGGTGACTAACTCCCTGAGCTTTATTAGTAATTCCTTCATCTTGCACACTTTCCCATCCCCAGGAGCTAACAAGTGGATCAAGAAGCTTGTAGACACATGTCAAGGTTTCCTAGTCCATCACATTCCAATTTCCTTGCAGAGGAAGCAGACATTGGATGACTGTATTATTTGTTGTTTGTGGGTTTTCTCAAAAATTGTGTCACCTGCCACTCAAATGACCAGGGAATATTTGAATTCTGGAAAGAAATTGAATTAACGAAATTATAGAATTTTGTATAAAAATAAAATATTAGGTAGGGTATTACTACACTGAAATGAAATGCGCTCTGCTCTTCTTCTTACAGAAAGAACTGCCCCAGGTCCTTATAGAATACACAACCTCCTACAATTCCTTCTCCAGTTCTTCAATCATGTAACTCAGAAGAGCACAAGAATTTTTCACACTCAGGAGAAACCTGAAAAGGTAATCTTTTACATGCACCACACTACCCCACTAAGCTTATCCCAGGTGGGGCAGCACACAGCTGGGGAGACACCTGGAAGAGGAAAACCACACAATCTACGATTTAAGTCAGCACTTGATCTCATGCCCAAGGAGAACACAAGACCAATAATTTAACTAGTTGACACACTAAAAAACAATGAAGACCCACTCAGCTTTAAATGATGACCCTGAGATAAAGTATGGTACCAGAAAGTACAGTTGAGGAGGTGAAAGAAAGAAATAATTGAAAATGAATTTCAGCCTAGAACTAGTGAAGAACTGACAGAATTGTGAAGATGGTGTGGATGTTCAATACATATCAGAGAGAAAGTACAGTGAATGCAAGATGTCAAGTAAAAGCTATAACTATACAAAAATAAAATCAATTTATTGAGGATTGAGTATCCCTACTTCAAGAGGTTGGTGAGGTTGTGCAACAAATATTTAAAAAAAAAAAAAGATTAGGGAAAGCTAAAAACATTGGGTGTTAAATGGTTTTAGGAATGGTATACCATAAATGGATAATGCAAAACTGACAAGTGGATAAAGTTTCAAAATTGTGGAACGCTTTAAGAAAGAGTTCTGTAAGTCGTGAGGTAATGAGAGAAATTTTGAGTGTTGTCACCAGTTTTATTAAAACGTGTATAAAGTGGCTCTTAAAACCTAGAACAATACTAGTGGTGCTTCAGAGTGGCACAGACATTCTTGTATTAGTTTTCTAATTCCTTTGGAATCTGCTAGCTATTCAGATTCACCACATTCTCTTACCAGCTTCCACCTATAGTTGCCCCAAGTCTTCCCCCCCCCATTTTTCCAATAATAGAATCGAATTATTACTTGAACATTACAAAAAGTAAATTCTCATCCCACGTGGGACTTTTCATTGAAAACGTGAATCATTTTTAAGAAAATGGGGTTTAAAGCATTACTGTTCATTCAAAATTTGAAGTTCTTTTTCACAGAAACCTTCAGTTTTCAAGAAACTTGATATGGAGTCATTTCAAGTACTTCCAGTAAAAAATACAATAGTGTTCACAAATTGCTGGAAATATGCATATTAAAGGCCTGATATTTCAAAAAAATTAGTTGTGTAATTTTTCTAAACACTACATACACAGAATATAGCAAAATTAACTTTGTCATATTAAACAGTACAATTAGCACTATCTGTTGGAAAAGTTTGAAGAAAAAATTTAGACCCGTTTTTGGGAAAATAGCGTTTAGGCATTTATGAAAGTAATTTTGAGCTCATTTTCATAGAAAATTGTAGAGTTCCCAAGAAACGTAATGACATTATTTAAAGCACATGTACTCATAAATTCAATAATGTGAACAAATTGCTGCTAATGTAAATATTAACACGAGATGCTAATCAAAAACATTACATTCATGTTATCTGAATACCTGCACTTTATCATTTCAGGAATACAGAAAAGGAATCTAAAGAATAAAAGTAGTTTAGGCTTCCATTGAGTTAACGGATTTATTTCCAAAACATTTTACATAAAGTATGTACGTGGTCTGATAAACGCAAACTTATTAAAGCGAACCTTGCGCTGAATGCGCTTAGGAAGTGGGAATCTAATTTTGCTGTCGTGGAATTGCTTAATTTGTGGTCTTCTGCATTTCGCAGCAGCAACTTGCTCCACCTTAATGATCTGAATAGAATGGGCTCTAGCACGATGACGAGCACCCATGTCTCGATAGCACTGGGTAACCGCCCCAGACACGCTCAGATCACGGTATTCTCTGTACATGTTGTGGGTTCCAGATCGAGAATCATAACGAAGCCAAATGCCGAAGTTCTTGATCTTCAAAGGGCTTTTCTCAGGAATCTGCAACACAAAAAAGTTATTACTTAGAAAATCAAAATAGTACCATACCTTTGTACATTAATAATTATGTCAATTTGGCTCCAGAACCCAAATCAATTTTGGCACTCAATAGTCATTTTTGGTCAAATAAGTGTCTGAGTTTCCAGGGTAGGTATAAATAAGATACGTTTATTTGTGTACACATTTTATCAAATACAAGATATCTGCATTCAGTGTGTTTTACAGTTTTGAAGACATTCTAAACAAATTAAACCCATTTCTATTTTACCCATTTGCTACATATCCATTATATGAGTTACAAAGAGCTTGTCAACATCTGTTCCTGGAATGATCTCTGCAAAATGGGGCAATGCACTTCAAAAGAAGCGCACAAAGAAACTACTCTTACCGTACCTTCCCCATAAATTTATGAAGTATCTCCCAAATTCTTGGATAAACAAATATTTGCAGAGAAGTTATTGCAACCACATGCTTGCTGTACTTCATAGAGACCATTATTAATATTTCATTGTAACAATTTCTTACAGCCCATTTTCTTATTGACCTTATACACCTCCGACCAGAAACACACTCCTAAGTCACAGATAGAAACTTCTGAACCTATTCAAAAAATGCCACTTGCTCAGGCTTGGTGAGAATCTTTCTTCGGAACGTGAAAATAATATTGTGCTGATAGTTTTCAAGGACAAGGTCAATTATAAAATCTAGACTTTTATCATTAAAATGCAATAGGAAAATATAAATTTTACTTATCAGCCATAACACAATGATAGTAATGTAGTAATGCTGTGTCTTGGCACACACATTTTGGATACAAACTTGACTTATCCACTTTTATATGCACTTGCCATATAATGCACAAGTTACATTGTAAAATTTTAAAAATATTTAATGACTAGCAAGTAATGTACTATGTGTCTTCTGAGTGTAGAACTTATGTCGAACAGATTTTCATCCAGATTCCAATCCACTGAGCAAATGTCGAGATGGATGGACCCTTGTTTTGCTTCTGGTTATAATCATACCTCCTATGTACATATTCTGTTGAGCTCTCCTTTCTTTGGGTGTGTTATGAAACAGATTACCATTTTAATAGTAATAATAAAAATATCAAATTTAAGATTGTTTACCAATGCAAATACCTAAAACTACAGCAAAAATGTCTATTTTCAAATGCTCCTAACCTTGCTTTGTCAATACTTTATGTCATTCAAGTATCCAGTTAAAAGTTGGGAAAGAGTCTGGAGTTTATGAAAACCTATGTCCATTATGAGTCTTCCCCACACAGTTTTTACCGATCAGTTATATACAGTTTTTACCGCTCTTTGGCAAACTAAATCAAATATAACTAAATTATACGTTTTATATAACCAACATTTACCTGTTTCAATGATACGATTTCTCCAGTAGCTTTCTTGAACTTCTTTAATTGACGCAAGAAATACCAAAATCGTGATTTTGCAACGATGTAATCCGGAGCAAATATTCTCATTTTGTAGAGAGGTGTAACCTTCTCTTTTGCTGTTGGCAGCTTACGGCCAATCACCTCATACTCTTTCAACTGAAACAAATATTTCATTAATCAAAGTTAGTACGACTAAATTCATAATTTCCATACCAAAATTCCACACAAGTTGTTTTAACGCAGGAGGGACGTAATTTCATAGACAGTGTATGGTGGACGTGACCACATGGCAATGGCATGTTCCACCAGTCATTGTGAATCACTCTAAGATCGTGTTAAGCAGTTAATATTTATGGAAACTATTGATGTGTAATCGAACATTGTTCAAAACTTAAACACTACGTCTATACACAAGAATTTTCTTAAATTTGTATTCATTATAAGTAAACAATTTACCTGCCCCTTCGCCTTCATCTTTGCTCTCTTCGCCGGAAACTAGGAAAGAACTAAACGGAAACGGCCAACGCGTTCACTCTGCAAGAAAACAACTGAAAGAAGAAACAAATGACGCGCGCATCTGCGTCATGTCTTAAATATTCAATTCAAGTTTACGAATTCAAATATTCCTTGGATCTATGTTTACTTATAATCAAATCAACGGTTTTAACACTACAGGAACCATATAAATTTGAATATTACCATATCAAAATATAACAAACATGCCATTAGTGCCGTGCTCAAAACTGCTCCTAGACATGTTCAAATTCTTTGATCCGATCTGAACCAAAGAGTACACATCGCTGAGCAACATAAGTTCACTGATTGTGTGTTATCTGTCACCGTAGACAAACTATGGTGCATGGACGAACTGTGTTGGTGCTCTCTGTATGTATCATTGGTGGATGTTTAGGTCACTTACAGAGACCGAAAATATCAGATTGATAAGAGTCAACAAAGCAATGCCTGTGTGCCAATACACCTGAGTTTCTCTGTTGTGTGTCATACTCGGTCTTGTGTAGTATCTCGAACTCTCTACTTTCATACATTTGAATGTGTATGGCTCCGAAATACTGCTAGACAGCAACGGAAGGACATTGCTTGTGCTAAAATTTGTGTCTGAGAATTGTACGTGTGATGTGTTAAGATTTTGAGTGGAATTTCGTTAGTCATTCAGTGTTATTGTGAAGCTCCTATTTGTCAATATGACTTCTTCCGATACTGCGCAAGTTAGCTCTCTACCATTACCACCTGTGCAATACATAAATCAATACACAGATGAAAACATTAGACGAGGAAGAGCACCTAGACCACCACCTGTTATTCATGATACATATTCCATGTTTGGAAATCCATTTAATGCTGATGACATTATAATTAGGCCTCTTGAAAGCCAGGTAAGTGAATCAACATTCAGAGTTGAATCTTATAATCAAAATGTTTGGTAGTGCTAAGTCAATTATTTATTGTTTATAAGGCAACAATTTTTATTTTATCTATATTTTAGGGAATAAAGAGATTATACCCACAACATTTTGATCGGCGCCGTGAGCTGCGTAAATTGAACCATTCCCTTCTTGTGAACTTCCTTGATTTATTAGACTTACTAGTGCAGTGCCCAGACTCGTCTAGACGAGCAGAAAAGGTTGAAGATTTAAGTTTATTATTCATTCACATCCATCATTTGCTGAATGAATTTAGACCCCATCAGGCTCGTGAAACTTTGAGAGTTATGATGGAAATGCAGCGGCGGCAAAGAATTGAAACAGCACAACGATTTCAAAAACATCTAGATAAGGTGAGATGCATTTTAATTTTAGACTTTGTAAACTCTTTCAATCGTAATGCATAAAATAAAGAACAAATGAAAAATGAGAACTTGATTGAGAGGGCTTTGGACTCTTTGAAGAGGGAGATCAAAGATATTTTAGATTGTTCTGCTGAATGGAAGAGGAGAAATTAAATTCTTATGTCAAAAAGAATAAATAAACATAATTTGCAAGTATACAAATTATAAATATATATGACTATCATTCAAAGTGCCAGTGCTATGCTGGCATATTTGCAGCCAATGTTAATAGGTTATCTTCACTCCCGGTATTACATCTATTTCAATCGTACAACTATTAAATGATTGAACTAATTCATTTAGCTCAAATTTAGTCTTAAGATTTTTCCTACACCTTTATATAGAAATGTGTACCAAATAACCTTAATTTTAATAAATCAGGTGAAATGCAAAACCTAATTGAGATTGTATAAGAGCAATGTTTAGAAATATTTCAAGGGTCGGCCCCTAAAGATTGCTTAGAATATGTGAAGAAAATTTTGCGTTGGTCCATAATCTTGATGTGATGTTAGTAGTGATGCAGGGACATTAATGTCAGGGTGACCAATTTCTGGAATAACACAGAAAATATGAAAAACTCAAGGTAATCAAAAAGCAGAAATTATTCTGGGAAATGGCTGGTCAAGTCACAAAATGTGCATTTGTCTTGAAAATGAATCATGGTTAAAGGAAAGAACACTGTATTTATGTGTTTTAACAGCTTAATGGCTTGCTGCTATGACTTTTTTTCTTTCGCTGTACAGAATCGCTGCACATATCAAAAAGCTTAAGAGGTTGCCCTCCTTTTGGTGTGATGGCGGTACTACTTGAAGGCATGGCAAGATGAAGACGACTATCAATTATGTAACTTCATTAAGCCAGGATGAATAGTGTTCCGGGAAGGACTCCAGTGTTCTGTTGCACTTCGCCCATCGAGAGTTCATTCGAGCACAAAATACATTAATGGTGGTCTTAACCAACCAAGATAAACCATCTGAGCAGTATTGTAAACAGTTTTGTTGTAATGAATCGATATACGTCTTCATTTGGCGATAAACTAGCAGAAGCTCGCCACACTGCAAACAAATCATGTCTTCGGATGGCCTGCATAGTTTCTGAAAAATATTATTTTTTGGAAATGGGGCAATTCCCGACAATGAGAACTATCTGGATCTTGTAAATGAATATTAAAGCAAAATAAACGAGCCAGTTTCCCCGCTGAAATTTTTTGTATATATCTCGACAAAAACAGTCAAATAATTTTAAGGAAATGTTACTATCTTATATTCAAAAGCGTTTAATGATGTGTACGGCAATCAGAATATGAAAAATGAAAGTACGTACCTTTCACTATGATATTCAGCAGAGGCATGAATACTCCTAGTGGACCCCCTCCTCCTCCCAGAACACGTTTTGAAAAGACGCACTCTGAAACTAGTGGGGGCGCGCAGTGACCTTCTACGAACCCCCAATCGCTTGGCGGCTCTTTGGCCGGTGTTAATCTCGCGGTGGGAATAGTTTCACGGGGATCTGCTTTATTTTTAAATATTTAATCCGCCATTTTGGATTTTCCAATTTTGACTTCATATTCTTAATCAGCGACTTCAAAAATCATAATATAATTCTATAAACTTATAATTATGGCCAGGTTTTTGGTTAGTTGGAACCAGTGTGCGCCGGAACAGCGAGGGCTCCGGAAAAGGCGAGGATGGGAGGTGAGGCTGAAACGCATCATCCGGGACAAAAGAGAACGGCGATTAATGAACAGCACTTCAAAAATTCTACCGGTCGGCAAAGCAATGCGTTGTTTCCGAACAATGTAGTAGTATAACATTGTGTAGTAGCTACAAATAATGGGAGAAAGTGTCTGCGGTTGTTGCTGCATTCGTTATAAACCTAGTTTCAGTACGAAGTACACTTTATTGAATATTGAATTTTTTTAAATTACCATTACTTAATGGAACAAATAGTTTAAAAAATTGTCTTGGATATTGAACCATGATTCAATATTAAACTTTTTTGAATTTATTTTTTTGCAGGTTATGGAGATACTGCAACAGGCATTACAAATGCTTCCTGACAATTTAGAATTAGATTCAAAGTTAATTATCCCCACTGAATTATTTGAGAGTATGGATGCAAATAAACAAGATGAGTCAGCAAATGAAAGTTGTTATCCACTGGATCGTTTGATGTGCGAAATTGTAGATTCCATGTGAATGTGTGTGTATGTGAGTAGCTGCAGCTTTATTAGACTTCTGAAAGATTGAAAAACTGAACTCGTAGAGCACAATTTCACATATTGATAGTGATTTTGTGAGAATTGTAACAAGTATGATTTACTTAAACATGTTTTAATATGAAATCTACTTTCAGAGAAATGCTGGTTACTAGTTCCATTTGTGAGTTGTGTTTGTGTATTGCTAACAGATCAGAACTTGGTTTTCACCTTCATCATTTTGTAAAACTTTTTTTTGTGACTACGTGATTGGATCTCAGAATGGTAATTGTAAGATCTGTTTCACAAATATTTTCTTAAACACATTAATGTTAAAAAAATATTTCTGTGTATTTGTAAACATCTATAACAAGGCCGGTTTAGTTTTGAAACATTTATATTATTGTCAAATTCCAATTCAATCTTAATTTGTTACTTACAAACAAAAATATTTATTTTTATATTATATCTTTATTATGTGATGAAATAGAAGTCCTAGGTCTTGTTTCTGATGTTGTTTGTATTGTAAATATCTTCATGATTGTAAATTTTTTCACTTAGTCTCATCAGAAATCTTATTAATAAAAAGTAAAAGCCAATTTTCAAAATCATTTTCAATTCTTTTTACTCTTATCACAAATGCATTGAGTTAGTAAAGCAAGTTGTAATAATAAATATGTAGTAAAAACGTTTTGTGCCATGGTTCACCTAATGCGTGACTGGGGTAGAGCAGATGACGTCTTTGGGTGACTCCGGTTGGCAGGAGACTGATATTGCCTGCCGGCTGGGAGGGGAGGGGCTCACCCTTTCCCTACCTTGTACTCCAGCACCATCCCCAGCCACTGCTTTGTTCCTCGGCGCATGCTGTCTGCAAAGGCAGTTAACTTTCTTGGTCCCTGTGGGTTTCCAGTTGGATCGGCGCGGCGGGCCTTCAAGTCCATGCGGTGTGTGTGATGTTGGCTTCTGCTGGGGCAAGGGCATTGAAACCCACTGGCAGTGTTGGGTGGAGGGGCACCTGTCGACATCTCACAGTGATTAATTTTTCATTGCTAGATGGAAATCCTAGTGTTGGTACCTTTGAGATTAGCAGTGTTTTATGGGTATAAGTGTGTTCACTACCAACACAGGTATTGGTGATTTTAAAGACAACACCTTGCGATCTAGCATGCAGGGTGAGAGGTTGGCAGTTTGATATTGGTCAACTGCCGGAATTTGGCTTCATGTAATAAACTGCAACGAGTTTGTAGCCTTGTCGGAATTGTAACGGCTCTAATACCAATAATTTCCAAGTGAATACTGGAGCATCACCATATCCAAAGACTTCAATTTATTCCAAATGTATAAAAATGATATTATGAGAATTCTTAATGCTTAAAATATTCAAATTAATTTATTATCAGCTCTTATATTTGGAAATGAATAAAAGAAACTTTCAACTTAGAATAAAATTGTTTGTAAATAAATTATTTTCATAGGTTAATCCCTTTATCTGCCTGCATGGTGCAACCGAATGAGATCAGTTATGCTGACGTACTGAACATTAGTGATTGAAGGAGTTATGACTCATATTTGTTTGGGTTTCATCAATAGAGCAGTGAGTGTTTATTTTTTATTTATTTACTTAAAAAAATGTTTGTGATGAGTAAAAATAACATGGTATGCATGGCTTAAAAATTAAAACATTTATTACTGATGGGATTTTTACCTTTTAAAGTTGCACTGAAGGAACAAAGATCTACACATTTCATATCTTAAGACAAAACACCAAATAATATATTGTTTTGACTTCCAAAAATAAATAAATAGATATGTTCTTCAGCTTTTAGACTAAATGCAATTCAGTCATTTGGATGTTCAAACATTTTGTTTTCAAAGTTATTAGAGTTATGAATTAATAAACGCAACACATCATTTGGAAGACTTACACCTCTTGTCTTATGTGTGTTCTGCAGGCTCCAAATGAGAGAGCGTGAAGAAAGCAAAGGGGTGTGAAGAATGTCTTCATTTGTGCAGATCATGACATTTTACTTCTGATATTCTTTATGTTATTCTTCTATATATTATTTTATATTTTTATATTATATTTATTCTTTATCCCTAATGGAAGTATCTCTCTTTTTTCATTTGCTACTACATTCACCAAATAATTTTGTTGGACATCCGGTAGCCTTGTTTAAAGCATCATGCTGCACAATCGCACTTACATTTACATCAAGCCATACACAATTCTTCGCTTCAAAGTTTCGTAATTTCCTTCCATATACCATCTTATCATCACATGATATTTAGGCAAAATATCCACACTTGCTGCTACCGCTTTCTTTAGACCTGACACCACCCCTGCCTCTGTTCATGACAAACATGCTCGTGAAGCTTTTCCACTGTCTCCGTCCGCGCCTGCAGCAACCGCCTGTCCGATGCAGTAGCTCGAACGGCTCCCTCCACGTTAATCGACGCGCCGATGCTGAGAAAAATCAACTTTTCTCCAAATATCGCAAACGGGAGCAAAACATATAAAACCTATTAAAACCGATGTTCGGGAGTAGGATATAACAAAAATTAGAGATATATTTGATCTTTTTTTAGATCGTCATGAGAAATAGATTGGTCTACTAATACTAAATAAAACAAATATATGGTTAATTATAAATGTTGGATGTGATGTACATACTCCGAGGAACAAGTTCCATGCTGCAAACTCTTCGTAGATGTAGTCTGTGGACATCTACTAAGACCACATTCAACTGGACTCCGAATGTGACTAATACGAAGGGAGCTTGAAGTTGCTGAAGTAAGGTCTTCCGTGCCGCCTGTCCTTATCAATTGAGGTTTACAAAGCTGTTTTCTGGGACTTCAGACATTAGGAATACGAAAATTTGTTTCATATTCTAATTTAAATTTTTTTTTTTTTTATTTTTGGCCACCTACGAACGCAAAATTGATCACTGGCCTGGGAGTAGCATCCCGCCGTACGTAAGTGTTCGATGGGTTGCCTACAGCTCCAGCTATATGGGCCGGGCTGTCTGAAAATTTGGCGGCCCTGGTCTTTCGTTCTCCAACCGCGGGGCAGATTGGAACCAACCCCACTCCTCCGGGTCCCACGTTGCCGGCAGGGTTGTGGGAGACCTCATCACCCCAGCAACGACGCAGTGTTGGGGGAAGGAGGCTGGCAGCAGCTTTCCGCGAGATTCTTCTCCCGTTTCATGGAAAACGAGCACACTCACCAATGAGCTAAACCCCGAGGGCGCGTTTTATAATACTGAACTGAAGTTAAATTTATTCATGTATGTTATTAGCAGAGTTTAATAAAATCATTGTTTGCTTAATTATTATTAAATCTCTTCTCAAAATACGGAAAAAGTAAATATTTTATAATATAAATTTGAAGATGGGTAAAATGATTTTTGTCCCAACATTGGGATGAGGAGAAGTTGCCCCCTCTCTGTATTCTACCTCTGCGGATAACTTCAAAGAAGTATCAAAGTTTTCAGAATATTTCAACAACAATGCAACAGTGTAAGGAAGTGTTGTTCCCTAACACTAAGACTGACCTTTGCTTCCATAAAGGCAAATTTTGAACATCACCCCAAAACATCAGAAATTGGAGATGTAGGGTCTTCTCTTTACAGAATCCATAAGCATAATCGACAATATACAGCAAATGCTGAGTGAAAGGTGTGGAGAGGTAGGTAAGAGAGTTGGGTTAAAATTTACTAGGGAGTTAAATCGTAATACAAGCTGGTAAATAATGTAGAAAATATATTCTGTTCTTTCTGAAAAACTGGAAGAATTTGATGTAGAATCACAGCTTAAAGCTTGAATGAAAACCCCTTTAACTTCATGCGAAATAGAACATTCTCCTGTAACAAATTATTTTTGAATGAAAGTGGAACGTTTATATCTATTAAAAACTTGGGGAACATCTTGTGTACTGTCATTGTGAACGATAATGAGATTTATTGTCTTGTGATTGTAAAAATTATAGTAAACTCTGTTTAAAAGTTACTGATTTTATAATATATAGTTGTTTATATAGAATTGTGTCCATCTTTTCTGTATGTATTACATTTAAATTTGAATATTAAATACTATTTTTATTTGATTATAATTGAACTCTTCAGGGAGAGAGGGCATGGCCCCCTGTCAGGGTCGTTTTAACCGCAGAGGGAGGCCTTGGGCTTAGGTTAATTTGGGAGCTTCCTATTCTTGTTTTCACCAATGTCTTCCCTCACCAATTTCGATGCTGAAATATAAAGAAAATCCTATCAATTCACATTGTATTTTGTTTTCTTAAAAAGTATTATGAAAGTATTTCTTTGTATTTCAATTTAACAGTATTTAAACAAAAAAATTAAATGTTGCGCATATATTACAAAAATTAAATTAAAAAATACTACAAATTAAATAGTTTAATTTTTTGTTGAATTGTACAATATTAAATTGAAATGTATCAACCAGCAACATTCATTATTATAAATATTATCCAATAATGTGTGGCACATCACTCTGTTATGTCAATTTTTTGACTATAGTTTATTATCAAATAATAGTTTTAAGAACTGTCGGGGGCCGTGGACCCGAGCGTTAACACGGCACTGCCCCCTGCACCCCGCGGTGCGTACGTTTATGGTAATGAGACGTTTCAGTACCATTAGTATTGAACATTTTATTTGCTTTGTAAAAATTCCATTAGAACATTGTGTTGTGTTCTGACAATTCTTACTCATATTACGAAACTAATCTTAGTAAAATTTTCGAAATACTGAAGTTTATATATACTTTATAATAAAATGTTACTTATAGAATCAAAGTAGATAAATGCAAATACAGCAAGAAACCGTGACAAAAAGAGAGAATCCTTAACTGAGAGGTCGTTAAAATACGGGAGAGAGAAAAGGCAAACCAAACACGAGCGAAACGAGCAACCTCCTAGCAAAAAGCCTCTGCGTCGAATTCAATGTGACGCGGCATCGTGTGTGGCTCCAAACTCACCAGCTTTCCCGTAAGAGCACGCTGTCTGACTTGGGGCTGATATATATACTCTCTGCTCTTATATATCACCAATCTATAAGCTTCACGCCACCAGCAAAAGAGTAATATACGTAATATATACCCGGAGTATACTGTGGTATACTACAGTATACTATACTGCGGCAGTATTACTGCCACCAGCACGAATAGTTTGTTATAGCTAGGAATATCATTTTATAAAGTATAAAGCGTAAAGCAACGGTGTAGTTTGGTTGGAATATGTATGTAGTTATGTTAGAAAGCAAGTGAAGTAGTAAGGATGCACATATATTACAAGAAAATGCTTAATTTAACATTGATTGATGTCCCGAGCATCGATTAGCCTTTCTAATAAGAGATGAACATTACGACAGAAATAGATAAGATTCTTAGTGTAGGAAGGAAAACAAGCAATTTAGAACGTCAGTTCTTTAATTTTTACTTGTATTAGGTACTAGAGTATGTTGTAAGACATTAGACACTGTCATGTTCTGATGATCTGATTAAAACATAGAGCAACCCAACACGAGTAATTTCACGATGAATGTATTTGATAGTTATTTTAAAACAACCTGGAAAAGAAACTATTCTAGAGATGGTACGTCAATGCAGAAACACTTGCCTTGTCAGTGTTTTGATGCCCTCATATAGCTTTATAGTTTATGTAATGTAAAGACATTGAAATTAGGTAGTTTCAATTAAACACTGATTATGTTTTGGAAAATGTTTAAGTACTTTATTGACAAGAAAATGGGTTACACAACTATCATTGTGTCCCACCATTAAGAGAAAAACAAAATTTGCCAAGCCAATTAGATTTTTTTGTTTCATATTTTTAAATTATTAAAAAATTTGATTTGCAGAAAATAGAAACTGTAGGAAACTAAATAAGAATTCTCCTTTGAAAGTATTAGAAAGTAATATTTCATAATCTGTAATTGTAAATGGAGATGAAAATAAAGAAGTACTGTAGTAACCAAATTAAAAACTTTATCTTAATTTTTTTCTATTAAACTAGTCATATGGAGCATCTTTTTCAATTAACTCATTCTAAATACTGACAATTAAAAAAAACGTCAATAGTAACATTTTTATGAAGAGAAAGAACAAAGAATAGCCTGTAGGTGTCAGGAACATTGAAACATTCAGCAAGAAAAAATGCCAAAATTAATTCATGAAACAAAACGCCCAAAACTATAGTATGCTATTAACAGTATAAATTTAATGCAATATATATTCTGTCCCTTTATTTATATTTACTGCTAAATATAGACTGTGCTTACTGTATGTGAATGTTCTCACAATTTGTAAAAACGTTGCAGAATCAAGAGAGTATTATTGAACATGTGTTTGCATGATATAATGGTCCAAAATGGTGAAATACACACATGAAAAACAAAGGAGAATTATCATTTGCATTCAAGTTTATGAAAAGTAATGTGGAAACAAAGGTTATGTGTAATGTTTCCTGTGAAATAATCATAATAATAATAATAATAGTACAAAAATAAAAACACTATCATGGCTTCAGAATCATTGATTATTTTCTTTAATTTTGAAGTTAAATGTTATTTTTCATGCCACTTCATTTGTTTGGGGAAAAAGGAAAGCAATTTGTTTCCTTAATTCATACTACATGATTTTAATGCATTAAAATTAATTTTTAAGTCAGTATTGAATATACAATTCTGGATGACAGGAAGGGGACATTTATAAGTGATATATTTCTTTTATAATTATTTGCACATAAATCAGAAATACAGGTCAACAGAAAGCTAAAATAAAGTATGTTTGTTATTTTATTTGAACCATTCATATAATGACTCAACAATTACTTTATAAGCTTACATAATTAACTTTACAAAGTCAGGGATTGAAAAATTGTATATATTTCAAATAGAAAGTGTATTATACATGTAATTATAATGTCTTTGTTATAATGTTCATAAAGCAAATATAATTCCAATTATCAGTTAGAAATTATGATTTTGCATAAAAAATTCCAACAAATTCTTGCACAATAAATGGCCACAATTTCTCACAAGAAGGTTTTTATTCTCTACATTGTAATAATTTAATTACCAAATGTATTTTATGAGTCACATTAAGCATAAGCAATATTTTGAAATAATTAACTCTTTTTCTTTCTGTGATTTTTTGTTCTATAAGATGAGGAAATTTATAATTAATGTAAATCATTGATGTATTTAAATTCTTGTAATTCTGATCTTCATGAGAATAATCAAAAGAACAGACAAGTTAATCATTCTCTTATATTATTTGTATTAATAACATTTTTCTATTGATATTTGCTTTAAGAATTTACATTAAAATTCAAACCCGAAATACAATTTACTTTGAAACAGTGGAGAATATTTGTGTTGAAAAAACATCTTCTAATTATTAAAGGAAAGAAAGAATTAAATGAAATTATGCCCCCGTAATATCAACTTTAGTCTTTTGCACAACCCCGTGTTTGATTCCCGGTTGAGGCAAAATTAATTGTGCGCTTTACAATGTCCCAGTATCTGTTGCTGTGCAATGATGAGAAAGCTCACCTCTCAGGTTGAGAAGACCAGAAAACAGTGTAGGGATGGGTATATGCTAAACACATATAGTACCCCGTAACCCATGCCAGCAAAGCTGGGACGCTGCTGGTAGGCGTTTGATCATAAAGAGCTGTTGTGTCAAAGTACATACAATATAAACTTTAGTAGTGTTCAACTTTTATTGTCATACTTTGCAGCAATGCTCTGATTCAAAACTCAAAAATTTGATATTTTATGTACTTTATTCAAAGCTGTGTGTGACAACATTCTGTTCATAATTTATTAAATGTATTAATAATTATATTTCTTGTAACATGTCATTGATTCAAGAGTATACTTAGTCTTAAGGTTTGATATACATTTTCTATCAACTGCTATTATTATGCAACATTGTAGGCATGTAAATCTTCACTTGCAGATGTAACTGCAATTTGGAATATTATCTCACAGCAAGTGGTGGAGAGACTGCATAATGGAAATGTAAGTTTTGATAATGAAATATAAAAATGCACATACATTTTTAAAACATTTGTTTGTATTCAATTGCAGGCTGTTTGTATTACTGGTCTGGGTACATTCACTTTATCAGAATGGAAGATACATAATGGTAGCAAAATATGTTTACAAAAATTGCAACCAGTGTTCATCTTATCGAAAAGGCTCTCTGAATTTTATCATGTAAAAGTTGTAGAGACATATACAGCAGATAGGGTAAATGCAGTGATACATGTACTAAAAAAATATTTTTCACTTATAGTTTATTGTTGGGTCAAATCATGCTTTATGATTTCTAGATTCCTTTGAAGAAATTAAGCTTCTCTGCAGTATCTAAAGTATCGGGTATTAAGCGGCACACTGTTGAAAATATTATAACAGAAGTGACCCAAGTAATGCAGATACACATTCTCTTTGTTTATAATTAGTAAATTAGTACTTAGTTGATTGCATTTCTTGTTAACATTTTCAGGTATTTGTACAACTTATTGGAAGAAATGTAGACACTGAGTTTCCACTTGCCGGCATTGGAAAAATTGAAATTAAAAATAAGGTATTAAATGTAATATTTGATATGGACTTTGTTGAAAAAGTGACAAAAGCTAACACTTGTACCCACAAGGAGCAACAGTGCATTAAAAGATTTTATACTTTCCCTTATAACTCAGGACATTTCTGGACTACCTAACTGCATCCAGATGTTCATTTAGATTGCAATAAAGAATCATTTTAAACCTTTTTTAGCTTGTTAATCAGTAATTCTTGTATCACCTTACAAAATGTTGGCAAACATTTTTAAAAACTTCCTTTGTCATACATTCTTAACACAAAATTGATGAACAACATGTGTTTCATGTAGTTTTTTCACTATCACACTTCATAAAATATCTTCATTTACCTTAAATTGTTGTATTGTTTACTGTTCTTTTCTTCCCAATTTTTATCTTTTCTCCTTATGCTGTTTTTCTATAAAATAGGTAGTTATAAAGATTAAGAATAAACAATTTCTCCTTATAAAGAAAGCAAAATTAGTTAATTATTACGAGTAATTAGAAAGTTGATTTTAACAAAGCATCAAATTTTCAAGTATCTTTCAAAATAATGCAAATTTGAATTAAAAAGCTTCCATATCTTTTTTTTATTTTATTTTAAGAAACTTGTTTGGAATACAGATCACCAACCACAGCACTGTAGGGTGGAGGGGGCTCATCAAACGGTGTAGTATGATCTGGTGGTATAGTTGAATGATGTGCATATGGGGAATTGTGAACAAGGGGCAAGGGGGAAGAAGTAGCCTGCGGCATTGGTATGTGCACTGAAGCAGAGGACTGTGGCAATACAGACATTGTTCCTTGAGGTGGAGGATCATAAGGCTGAACATTTACTATTGCACTTGGTTGCTGAATTCGATAGACAAAGCCTCTTCTTCTTTGCTTGCAGCATGGACTACAGACACAACATATGATACACAGACCAACTTGCATTACAGGCACAATATACATAATCCAATCTAACAACCACCAAGGGTAGTCTATGTCTCTGTCACTGATCACTTTTCTTACATTCTCAATTCTTCTCCTCTTCCCCCTGTTTCGAATATATTCATCATAATCACAACAAAACACCGTACCATCCATTTGTTCACAACAAAATATTCGGTCACGATTTCCAAACATTGAAGGACAATTTTCAGTTACACCTGTTTTGTGACTGATCATACATTCAAAACCGTATGAAATTGGGGCTGACAAACATAATATTAAACAGCAAAATTTCAATTGATGGAGTGATTGAAAGCACCTCATTTTGTTTATTATTATTATTAATTCTTTTACTTGGGGAAAATTACTGCATTATCTACTTGCAAAAGATGTATATATGCCATGAAGAAATTAATTTATTAGCTATGTAATAAGAATCAGATGGACTTGAAAATTCAATTTTTGTTTACATAACTTTGGATTTAGTTAAGTTGCTTCTTCTTTATCCAATGCGACGACCAATAACTATGTTTCACTCGGAGCACAAGAACAAGCAAAAAAGTACTAATAGAATAAAAATTGTTTGTCCGCTGCGCACGGTCAGAAGGCGAGAGCGTTCGCGGCGAGCGGCGCCTTCCGGGGCCCGGTGCAGCAGATTTCGGGTGTGGGGCGGCGAGGCAATCGACAAAGCCCCGGCGGCCGGGCGAAGGGGTGGCTGGGCAGAACAGAGCGCCGGCTCCGGATCGCCCTGGGCGACAGCTTCCTGCCCCGCCCACTGCGCCTGCGCCGCACCGCCGCCGCCCGCGACGAGATCGTTCGCGCCCCCTCGCCCTCTTCCCCCCGCGCACAGCCGCGGGGCGAGGGGTTCGGCGGTGCACAGCTCCAGCGCCTGGGAGGCCCATAGGGCACCCAGGGCTCATTTAACCCTTAAGGCGGCTCCACATATTCGGTATTCGGCGAGTAGCGAGCGACCGAATCCCGCGTAGTGTAGATGAGATATTTGACGAGCGACGCACATTCGGTGCTCGCCTTATCCACCGCGTGTCGGTCTTTTGCACACATCAACGAATGCAAACGTTGGCCGAGCACAGCTGCTCGGAATTGGGCGAGCTGTCGCTCACAACTTGGCAAATGCTGAATGCATGGAACTGCGCCTTAACGCGTCTTATCGTTTCATTTAATGTTTATTGTTCCTCACTTTTACGTACTCGCATATTACTTACGTTGGGCAATACATTGTTACAGAAAATAAATTATCATTTTTGCAATTTCACGATACTTTAATATTTAGATTTTTATATTTTCTTCGGGTTTACAAATTTCTCAATGAAAGTAGAAATATTTCATTGAGAACCACATATATTTTTTCGTGCTTAATTGATAACATACTTAAATTACTCGGATGGTTTTGAGTTATTGTACTGCGCAAATAAGTATTAATCATTAATTTTGAAAATGTTCATTCGGCTCCGGAGTAGAAGTGTCAAAAGTAATGTTAATATTGTAAACCATAGGGAAAACTGGTTAATAACGAGCAATGTTCAATTATCATTTGCAAAATATTTAACAGAGCTTACTTATGAAATTTGACTCGTTATAAAAATTTGTAAAGGCAATAACTGACAAGTTTTCCGCAATATCTGCAGGGTATTTTCATTAAAGTTTTTGTGCGTCTTGGTAAACTGTATCTTCCAAAAGAGCAATCACAACTTGAGGCTAAATCTCTGTGGAAATTGCCACTGTATTTTTCAATTTGTCGCTTCAAGTGATTAATGGGAATATTTAGTCATCCATAGTAAACCAATCTTGTATCTTTGTTCGCCATCAGTGAGTCGGCCATTCTCGAAAAGTTCGTCAAAATGTTACGTTTTCTTCACTCATTTATGGCTAATGGGTACCCCCTGATAAGATGGTAAAAAGTTTCCTAAAACCAAATGACATAGTGGTTAACACTATAACTCTCTAGTATTTATTGTGGTGCGACAGGAGCTACGAAACCTGTCAAAAATCGTATTTGTCAGGTTATTAGTTCCGTAAGTGTAGTAAATAGTTTCTCGGGAAGTGGCGGTGGTCTTCCCCTGAGATCCAGCGCCGAACTACCATCGGCTAACCGACTTTTCCTCGCCAGGTATCTCCCACCAGCGGGCACCGCCCCAGCCGGGACAATCAGTAAGCCCTCGACCGGTCTCCCGGCAGGTGTTTTAGTTTAGTACGAGTGTGTGTGTGTATGTAAGGGGTGAGAATAGGACAAGATAGAGGAAGGTGAGATCGCGAGTTCGAGCTGTCCGTGACCCGTTTGTTAGGATACTGCACCGGCATTCCCCTGGTGATCGGAAAAACCACGGAAAGCTATCGTTGAGAGCAGCCAACGGCTAGAATTCTCTTACAGGCAGCTACTGAATTCGACCTAGCTATGTAGCTAGTATCCGCCACCGTTGGGACTCGAATCTAGGACCTCCCGGTCAGAGGCACTGCATTGACATCAGTTGATTCCCTGAGCAACCTCTCCCGGTATGTCATTTGGTTTTAGGGTTATTTTTACAATATTATCCGGGGCCACCCTTTCACTTCTACTTTCCAGACTTTGAATAACTCTAATGTTTCAAATCATCATATCAATATGAATCAGGAATCAGTTAGATTTAGATTTATTTACTCAAAAAACAGTTAAAACTGTGTGAGACGTATGGGGGAGAAGATCATCTGCGCAAGATTTCTTGAGTTCCAGAATTCCTTACCATTCTTTTAACTATAAATAGTTGATAGAGGAGTAAAAGTTTAAAATAAATAAATAAAAATGAATTTTAAAAAAGCGCGAGATAACCAATATTTGAAAAAAATATACATTTTCGTTCCCGAGTTAAAGAAAACTTATTTGCATTGGTAAACGAATTGCAAGTGTGATTTGTCTGCATTGCTAACAAAATAGTAACTCTCACTCACGCCTACTCCTACCAATACAAGCAAAGGAGATTTTCAACAAAACGTGCGAACAGTGAAGCTACATTTACTCCCAGAAGCAAAATAAGGGGCCATCTCAGTATTTGCTCAATGTATCAGGGAAACTGGACAAAAACGTGATCGAGGAGTTCCGAGCAGTCTTCAATTCATCGTAACCTCCATTGAGTAAATTCTGCGCCGTTTGCAAATCCAAATCAGGTCTTTGAAGGTATTTCGAAATAGTGATAGTTGATGTTAGTATTTTAGAATGTAGTGCTACATGGAAAACAAATTGAAAATTTTCCATTTTTTTCAGGTTATAGGTTTTATTCGCATTTGATATTTGCCATAAAATGTATTTTTGGTTAAAACTTGCCAAATATTAAAATATCTTAATCTTGTAGGTATTAAGGAGGTATTAATATGTATGTTTTAAAAAGATTGAAAATATCATAATGTTTATTTATTTACTTTTTTTTGTTTGAGTGTCACATTGTTCGGCTTTGTAAGAAAATGTATTGGAATTGCGTGCCGGAAATCCGAGTTTATTCCACCGGAAAACTCTTATTGTTGGGTCCTGATATCGAACAAGTGCGCAAATTTCTTCCTCTAACACATTGTAGCGTCAAAATCCACGTTTGTGCATAATTCAAACCAAAAAAATGGTTTACGGCAAAACGCTCGTCTGAGAACAACTTTAGCGCCTACCTACCCTTACCTGATGTCTCGGCACCTTGATTTGAAACGGATATTATAATTTTGGGAGGTACTTAACATGAAGTTTCAAGAACATTTTTTTTCTCCCAAATTTTGGGATCACGTTTTCTTATCGAATAGACCAATTGTACATTTATGAAAGTGACGCAGTTCGCACTTTCGTTGAACTCTGTAAATTTTCAAATGTTACAAAGTTTGACTTTTTTTGGCGTCTTGCTACAATATTGAGAGAGATTTTTTTTCTTCTAAATGAATTCTGTTATTCAAAATTAAATGAGATTAAATGAATAAATAATAAGTAAAAATAATTAAATGTATAAGTTAAGTGAAAATAAATAAACAGATTGTGTTCAATTTTATTTTCCAAAATTGAGTAGTTTTCGCGTAATTTTACATGACATAAAGGCAATTTTTAAAGGGAATTTTCAAGAACATCATTGGTCCAGAAACTGGAGTACATTTCTTGTTAGAGTGCATTAAGTATTTTTTTTAATTATATAAGCCTTAACTAATGCATGCTATAATATAACATTATTAAACATTCTTATCTGCAACTCTTAATTAAAACGGAAAATTTCTTTGGCCATTCACCTGGCGAATAGATTCTTGAATAAAATATTGTTGTTAAGAAGCATTTATTAACATTTTAAAAAGACTTCAAAACTACAATATTTTATTCAAGAATATGGTCGTCGGATGAATGAAATTTTCCATTCTATATCATTGTTAAAATAAATATTATTTTCCTTTTTGATGTACAGTGTAAAGTCTCATTGTGTAGAAACAGTTAAGCTGCAGAAAATAATAAAAAAGCAATCATTCTTATTGTTGGGCTCTGAAACGAAAAAGTGGACAAATCTTGTTCTTGTATGTATAGTAAATTACTTCCTCTAACCCAGCGTTTGCCAACTGGCCGAGAAGTGACGTCGGAGCTCCGTTCCCCTCCGCAGACGCCTGCTCGGTGAGACCGGGTGAGGAAAGGGGCGGAAGGGAGGGGCAGACGGCGGTCGCCGATAACGAAAACCAGTGGGCCTCTGCCGGTGTTTCAGGTAACATGAGTGGGAGACCATATACACCCGTTCATTTTCTTTCGGTTTGGGAAGAAAGGTTTCCTTTTGTAGATACCGTAACAATGGCGGAGTGTTTAGTGTGTTTGAAAGAACTGCAGTATGTTAACTAGTTCAAGCTGTCAGGCATTATGGTGTGACAATTCTGGCTTCGAATTCAGCGCTTTGAACCGCGCTTTGAACGTGGGTCAAGTCTTGGGTCTATCAACACCCCCCCCCCAAAAAAATACAATGTCACGGTGATGTTTCACGAATAAAAAACTGGAGGGTGAGGGTGCAATTCTAGCTTCAAATTCGCAGTCAGCGCGTTGACATAAATACAGAAACATGTATCAAGTCTTTGGGTCTTTTTTTTATTTTACTTATTTACATTTTTTAATTTTTTTATTTTGCGTGTTATTTATAAATTATTTATTTATTTTATTTTGTGTTATTGGTTCGGAATGAACTAAAATTGTTATATAATATAACTTTATAAAATATTGTATTAGAATGTTAAAACCATCTTCTCCAAAAATGTTTTGTGATAGAAGAATAGAAGTGGAATTACAGTACTGGTTACGACGCCGCGTCCGACACTGGCTTTGCTCCGAAGTTCGGTTCCGAGCAGGAGAGCAGATTTTTGTGACGTCACAGAGCGTTGAGTTGACAAGTCTTGCTCTAACACGCCTGAGTCCCTGTTTTGTAGGCTATTGATACTAAAAAATCGATTGATGTCAAAACGTCCGTCTGTGGTCAACACTAGAGCCAAAACCGTCAGACGATTTTCTCCAAAATTAGAATTCCCCGATCTATCTGAACAAACATCAGGCCTTGTGAGTTTGAAACGGTTTGAAAAAAATTTGAAAATATTTCTCTTACCTATCTATATCTATATGGAGACCCAAGGGCGTTGCGTTACAGCGCGATAAATTCTTAATGTACTGGACGAATAGCGATGAAACTTATGTGCTAGCTTCCTATGAAGGTCGTGAGTGATATAGGCTATGATTTACAACCATATATATATATATATATATATATATATATATATATATATATATATATACTAATTACTTTACTGGGCGATTAATTACTTTTCTGGACGTTCTTCGCCTAGCATTGCATGACAAATTCATGAGGGCATCAATGTGCAATAG